CACTTGAAATGAATTTGTGTTCTGGTCTGGTTAAGTGGAGTATTCTTTGAGTGGCAAGTACAGTAAGTTAACAGTGATGCTCCGATCTTCTGTATCTTGATTTTCTCCTTGGTCCAGTGTATTTTTTTAAAAGGATGGTATTGAAACCTCGGACTATAATTGCGAATTTGTCTTTTTCTCTTTGCCAGGTCCACTGGTTTGATCCTTCATAGATTTAAAAGCTCTAGTATGGAGTGCATAAACATTTAAATTGTCGGGTCTTTTCATGGACTGCTGTCTTACTATGAAAAAATAGTAACAGTGTTCTGTGGGTTTATAACATGTTTTTACACATGTAAAAGTAAACTGTATGACCACAGCAACATCAGAAGGGGAGAAATTGAAGAAAATTTAGGCATCTTATTTTTAACTATATATTTCAGTCGTCTTCCTTATCAGATGGTTTACCTGAAATGACATTTATTCTCCCTTCCCCTTGCTTTAGTTATCAGTGAGGCAGTAGAAATATGAAAGTAAGTGGAGTCCTTAGAGCCGCACAGAGGGGAAATGCCTCCACACAGCCTTGTGCTTCCCACCCATTCAGCAGGCTGTCACATCCTCTCTATTGAAATGGCGACCAATGAGGAGGAAGGTTTTTTTGTGGATTTTCAGCGTTTTCCTTTATGGGAGATGGGGATTGAGTGTTAGATTTGGGGTTTCTCACTTGCTGTCATGATCATGGTTTCGTGGTTATTCACACTTCATTGTACTTCACAGACATCGCATTTTTACAAATTCAAGGTGTGTGGTAACCCTACACCTAGGTAGGGTTGGCACCATTTTCCCAACAGCATTTGTTCAATTCATGTTTCTGTGTCGTAATTTTGGTAATTCTGGCGATAGTTCAGACCTTTTTATTATTGCGTTTGTGTATGATACAAACTGTGATCAGTGATTATAATTCACTGGAAGCTCAAATGTTAGCATTTTTTCACAATAATTTTTTTTAGTTAAGGTTTTTTTCAGATTTAATGCTATTTTACACTTACTAGACTCTAGTATATATGTGTGTGTAAACCTAACTTTTATGTGCACTAGGAAACCAAAAAGTTCATTTGACTCCCTATATCGTGATGCCCCCTTTACTATGGTAGTCTGGAATCAGACCCCAGTACCTTCGAGGTGTACCTGTGGTGGTTTTAAGGGCAGGAAATCAGGCATCACTTGGATGCAGTTATCACTTCCTGTGTTCTAGGAGCCTGCACCGCTGTTTGAGCTGGCCATGCTCGCCCTGGACAGTCCCGAGAGCGGCTGGACGGAGGAGGATGGTCCCAAAGAAGGACTTGCCGAATACATTGTTGAGTTTCTGAAGAAGAAGGCTGAGATGCTTGCAGACTATTTCTCTCTAGAAATTGATGAGGTGTGTGACAGCCATTCTTAGGCCTTTGTTTTATTCTTCAGATAGGAGTCAAGTTCTAAGATAATCCAAGATCAGGGCAAGAAGGCTGTTGTTCGCTCCAGTTAGAAGTAGCACGTGACATCCATTCACGTCTTCACTCCCTATTTGCATTTCTTGGTTACACAACTATTTTCATATCCATTCATGCCCATTCCTGTGCCTGGGGTGAAGGACTCAGGGGAGAGCGGAGTCCACAGTGCCTACAGGCCACAGCAAATGAGATGATGCCAAGCCACTTGATTTTCCTTGTTTCTTCCTTTTATCCCTTAATCTTTGGGGCTTTTCATCTCGATGTATTCTTTAGTTGGTGAACATAGCGAAAGAACAAGTTGTTTTGCTTCATGTCAATACAAAAAGCTTTTTTTTTTTTTTAAGATTTTATTTGAGAGAGAGAACATGAGCAGGGAAGAGGGGGAGAAGTAAACTCCCACTGAGCAGGGAGCCCGACATGAGGCTTGATCCCAGGACCCTGGGATCACAACCTGAGCTGACGGCAGGTGTTTAACCAACTGAGCCACCCAAGTGCCCCAAAAAAGCTCTTTAAGTACCCTGCTCTCCTGCCCCCAGTGCCCTGCTCAGGTACCCACTCACCCAGAGTGCGGGTATGAGGACAAGACCTGGAGGAAGCCCTGGGGAAAGGGAACTGGATTCAACTCTAACATTGTATTTCTGGTTTCCCTGTCCTGGCCTTTTCTCCACAAACAGGAAGGGAACCTGATTGGATTACCCCTGCTGATTGACAACTATGTGCCCCCTTTGGAGGGTCTGCCTATCTTCATTCTTCGACTAGCCACGGAGGCAAGTGGTCAAGCCATCCCTAAGTGTGTGGGTGCATGTGTGTGGGCTGGAGGGCAAGGGCACAGGGCTGTATCTTCACGTGGAATGAGGAAGATGAAAAGGATGAAAGAGCAGAAGGCCCCACCCCCATCCCACCTCCCCCAGCAGTATTCAGCAGTTCCAGGTTACAAATTGAATGCCTAAACAGTTAACATTTAAAAAGCTGTGATCTCCACTTGGAATGAAATGTGTTTATTAAAGCAAGTACCTATGTTGAGGTATTAAATTCTCTCCTTGGACTAGGTGAACTGGGATGAAGAGAAGGAATGTTTTGAAAGCCTCAGTAAAGAATGTGCTATGTTTTACTCCATTCGGAAGCAGTATATATCTGAGGAGTCGACCCTCTCGGGCCAGCAGGTACTGTGGTGATCCACATTAACACCCGGAACTGGAATGAACCCTCACACAACCTTTAGGAAGTTAAATTCGCTGTCTCTGAATTCCTATGATTAGCTAGCTGTACACAAAAAGGGCCTGAGTGAATGCACTTCCTACTACTGCCAGTGAACATCATAGTCAGGATCAGACACTGTTAGATCCTGCTACAGTCAACACTTCCTCCCGAATGGAAACCAAGTTTCCACGGGAGAAAGTCAGCCTTCTTTTCTCCTTATCTCCTCTCCCACAATCAGGCCTGTAGGATCCCTAAGAGGGTATTTCAACCGCAGTAGGTAAAACAGCCCATTGTAACCAGCAGGACTTCAGGCCTAGTACACGTCAGTCAGGAAACCATGAACACTGGGATGTGAGAGGGGTAAACGCGGAGGCTTGTGACATCTCACATGTCTTTTCCAGAGTGAAGTATGCGGCTCCTCTGCAAACCCCTGGAAGTGGACTGTGGAACACATTGTCTATAAAGCCTTCCGCTCACACCTTCTGCCTCCCAAACATTTCACAGAAGATGGAAATATCCTACAGCTTGCTAACCTGCCCGATCTGTACAAAGTCTTCGAGAGGTGTTAAACACGGTCACTTGTGGACTCTGGGATGTGCAGTTCTTGCACTGTGTCCTGACAAGGATAGGTCTTACGGTTGAAAACTCCCGTTTGCCTTCTCACTAGAAGCACTCTTTCACAGTTGATGGACTAATCAGAAATAAATTGTCAAAGGCGTCCTGACATGATTTCTTATTTAATTTCATCACACTTGAAAGGTGTTCTAGATCCATTTTCCCCTATAGTATACCTCATTATGGTGAAGAATCCAGTAGTTTGAAAGCCCTTTGGGCATCTGATAAGAATTCTAAAAAGGCCTTGAGATTCTATAGATCTTGCTTTGGTTTGATTCTTTGTGTATTCTGGTACACTTCTAATATCAGGTGATACAAATTATGCTGATTCACATGCCTTTGAAAAGAGATCCTTGACGTAAAAGAGGCTCTGGTGACAAAGAATATGGAGAAAGCTGAATTGATAATCTGTTACTACCTTAAGTAACCAAAGCTAATTAATTTATTTGTAATGAAAAACTTGGAAGAAGACAAAATCCTATCAAGTCTGTAACTAGTGTGCACTTTAACTCAGCCCCCTTTTTAATGGCTGTGAATACTACCAGCTTAAGATAAAGTTGTAGTTATTCTTGTCTGAAGAATGAGCTTGACGTAAAAACACAAACGTAAGCTGTAGGTGCCATTACAATGAGCTGCCTTAACGCTAGCATGCGTTAACAGAAATGTGCAGTGAGCACAAGGAGGAATGCCTACAGTTACTGAGGTAAAATCCAGACTGTGAAGAAGGTTCCATAGAAAAGAACGGGGAACTCTACCTAATGAACACATGGAGCCATTCTGTTTGGAGACTGGAACAGAAGAGACAAATTTGTTGTACCACAAAAGGGGCAAGTCAGGTTCTACCACGGAGAACTTCCAAAAGAACTTCCAAGAGGCTCCGTGAGCCCAGCGGGGCATAGGCTGAGCGGCCGGGCCAGGAGGGGGTCTCCATGGCGTGCTGGCTCACAGGACCACGTCCTCAGCCTCTCCCACAGCTCCTGCTTGGCTGACTGCTGCTACGACTAGAGAGAATTTATAGGAAATCTCTTCCATTCAGGACAGTGGTTTTCATATTTTTAAAAAGGCTAAATGTTCTGAAGGAGGGGGTATTTTGTAGAGCTCTTCTTCATATTCAGATTAGCTTTAGCATCTGGTTTCAAGTCTAATGTATCTGTCTAAGGAGACATTAATTCACTAGACTTTCCCCAGCATTTGTTCTGAAGCTACAACCACCATCTCCATAAAACCACCTTGATTCTGAGGGCAAAAGAGAATAACAGATCTTGCAAAGTGGCCATGCTGGATGATGAAAGCCTCTTGAATTGGGTGCCTTTAAAGATGAAACCAAAGTTCTTAAAAAGCTGTATATTGCAGATCCTTCTCCTTGCAGGGGAGAGAAAATAAGAGGGCCAAGATAAGGGGTGGGTGTGGCTGCCTTGATTTGTCTTGAAGCCTTCTCTAACAAAAATGAATGTGTCAGTAGCCAGCTGTGGTCAGCAACAGGGTGCGTTTAATAGTCTTCAGGCCGACCTCCCCCCACGTCCTGCCCGCTCCCCTCCCCACAGGGCTCGTCTAAGGTTTCATTCCACAGATCAGCAGCAGATGAGATACTTTACATGAGACACAGCACGGCTGATGTTGACGACGAAGGGGCCCTACTCCTACTTTAAGAGTGTAAGGCTTTGGACTTCCCCGGCCACATGCAATAAAGCAAGTTTTATATACACTCCCCATAAATCTTTTTCTAACATTTTCTTATATAAATTTAAATATTTTACAAAAAAAGGCTTTTCCTCCAAACATAGAAATTTGAGTGAAACATATATTCCCTACCTGTGAACTTGTTTCTTCACTAAAATATAAAGGCTATCTGATATTAAGGGTAAGTGTCTTTTGACTGCTGGAGATGACTGAAGTCTGAATTGCACCGTGGAGAAGGCACTTATGTTTTCCGAGGTCTCCAGTCACGTTATCGCATTGGGCACTCACAGAGTTGCTGTCCTCCAGAACCTGTACCAAGGCCTCCGAGTGCCCAGTCACTGAGGCAGCTGGGGGAAAATGGTGAGTAAACTTGATTCTAAAATTATGGCATAAAAAATAAAAACAGCACGGACCAGTTCTCAGTCTAGAATCAAACTACAAACGAAATCCAGAGTGTTCATTCATGAAGATTCAAACCTGTTTCATTCTCTCATAAATTATAAAATACAAAGGTGGCTATTTTAATGACAAATCTCGAACAGTACTGAAGGGGGTCTGTGTCAATGGACAAAGAGTCAGTCCGTCCGGATGGGACCTGAGGGGCAGCACCCGAGCTGAAGGGCAGCCTCCTACTGCTGTGCCAGAAGCGCTGTCCTGTTGGCCTTCATCTTCTCCAGCCGCTTGGCCAGGTGGCTGTTGGTCATCTCCATCTCCTCAATCTTGTCCAGTGCTGTTCGTAACTGCAGATAAGGAGAGCCTAGTCACTTCACATGGTCACACCCAAAACCCAGTGTCACTTCAGCCGCCCCCACCCCCACCCCCAAGAAAAGGAAACAGAAGCACTGGGCCACCCCATGGCCTTGTTTCTCTTCCAGTGAGACTCAACAGGGACACTGAGCAATCACAGGTCAGACTGCAGGTGGAAAAACAGACCGGCTCTAAAACACAAGGGAGATTATCCTTTTTCTTAGTCTCTGACCAAAACATAAAAGTAAATGGCAAGTCATTGCACAGGTGAGAAACCGACACAGAAGAGTAAGAGACTCCACTGTAGCTCCCCTAAGATGGGACCCAGGATTCAATTCCCTAGGCCACAAAGAATCTTTTCTTTTAGGAATGTGAGGCTGCAAAAGCAGGTACCTCCCGCTGGAGCTTCCTCTTTTCAGCCTTCAGTTCGTCCTCCACTTTCTCGGCATTCTCGGCAGCGGTCTTATACCTCAGCACCTGGCCCTCGAGCCGGCTGATCTGTCAACAAGAGAACGTGGGCCTCTGCTAATGGGCACTGGAGCCCCTTCTCGCAGCCACAATGGAAACACCGCGTCATTACAGATCCCGAGTCATCCCCTCACAGTGAGTCATAGGGCCTCTCAGACCCCGACAGCTATTTATAGATCCAGAAATGTCCCCAGAGAGGATTACAGCTGGAGAGTCATTATGGGGCCAATTTCCCATGTTAAGTTTATGATGAACATATTGTTTAAGTGCCAAAGTAACACTGCAGGATGAGATTCACTAAATGGAAAAGCTTTTAGACCTTCTGAAATGTACAAAAAGGAATTTTCAAACTACCGTCTTCCTGAAATCTCTTGAATTATCTGGAAAAAACAGAATTACAGCCACAGCCTTCTATGTTTTGACAGCCAACAGAAGGCTGAAGTGCCCTGCTCGGTTTTTCCTGCTGCCTTCTCCACTTTAATACAGAGCTTTTCTAGAGACACCTCCCCCCCCCCGCGCGGAGGCAGCCCAGAGAAACCTAGGTACTCCTGGAGTTAGCCACTCAGAAGCAGGAAACAGACATGTTTCAAAGGGGGCTAAATCACTTGGTAGTGTACTGAGAAGTACTTACATTCTGTTCCAATGTGGTTATATCCTGTTCTGCTTTTGAAAGCTTAAATTTGTATTCACTAATTTGTCTATTGGCATCTCCTGGAAGAGAAGAGAACCTGTGTCAGTGCAGGGGTGCTCTAAGGCAGTGACCACCTCTGCTGCCCAGGAGGGAGCTGTGCAGCGGAAGCAGACAAAATCCAAAGGCCTGAAGGGTGGCCTTGGCACTTCCCACAACGTGGGCCCTACGGCGGCTCTCCTGCAAGAAGCTCTAGTACCCGATATAAGCATCCTTTGGACCAGGGGGTTTGGAAGAAATTTTACTCTCCAGTCCATGACGTGTGGAGTTTGAACTTTGGGCTAGGAGCCCTGTCAGTGCATTGGCGGCCCCCACCCAGCTCTTGTGCTGGGTGCCGCGCACCGTGCCCCCCACCCCACCCCAGCCTCTGGTTTTCCTCGCCATCCTACTTCCCGGGCTCCCTTCGGCAGCTACACACCAAGGGCCCTACTCTCCCTGCCTCTGTCAGGGCTCTCCTCAGTCTGGTGGAACTCCTCCTTCCATGCTGCAGTTTACTTACACTGTCTTTTCTAACACTGATCGTGCTTTCTAAACACTGTACATAGGGGGACGAGCCAGCTCTGCCTTCTTCAGCTACCTTGATCTTGCCAAGGGTTTTGTGCATGTGCTTGATAAACGTTAGCCGAAAGATGCTTTTCAGTAATGTGATTCTGTGATGGGTGGACTTCTAAATCATTAGTTGTACTTCTAACCTAAGAAGTCAGTCATTTAAAATGAGAAGTTGAGGGGTGCCTGGGTGATTTAGTTGGTTAAGTGTCTGCCTTCGACTCAGGTCATGATCTCAGGGTCCCGGGATCAAGTCCCACATAAGGCTCCCTACTCAGTGGGGAGTCTGCTGCTCCCTCTCCCTCTCCTGTGTGCACTCTTTCTCTCTCTCAAAATCCTTAAAAAAAATAAAATGAGATATTAAAAAGTTCCCTCCAGCAAATCATATTTAACAAAAATCACTCTGAAATGATTATAGGGTAGAATCATAAGGCCTATAGGAGATAAATCTAACCTATCTAACTTAACCTTTCTGCTTTTCCACATCACTGAGATTACAACTACTTATATATAATCTTCCGCGAGAGGATCTTCTCAAGAGTAGTTATGGTCACCTGAAAAGTAATGGGGCTATAAAACTGCTCCCAAGGCCTTTCTGGCAGTGACAGATAAGAGTTCCTACTGCTGAGCTCTAAAACAGAAGTTTCAGGATCTGTTTTTTTTTTTTTTTTTTTTTTTTTTTAATTCTCCATCCCAACCATTTACCGATTATGACAATGTGCTGCTTCCTTCTCATGGCAAACCACCCTTTCCTTCCTGTTTTCAAGAGTGTAAGTCCTTCATCTCTGCCATTTGGTGCTTACCGTGAAATTCCATTCTACAATACGATGCTTATGTCCCCAGAGTTCGTTTGCCAGCCAGGCCCAGTCTACCAGGTCCTGCTGGGCCCACCTCGTTCTACAGCTCACTCTGGGTCCTTTCCAGATACCAGCTCTGTAACGCTCACCTGCCATAGGAGCATTCACACAGATGGCATGCCCGACCCCCTCAGTGTGGCTCCTTTTGATTTTACTGCTTTAAACCAATCTCTTTCAAATCTACCCCTGCCCTCTCTCTAAGACTGCTCACAGCCACTGTGCTGGTCCAGCTGATCATTATAGCCTCCCAACTAGTCAGCCTGTCTTCATCACACCCGTCTTCATCTATCCTCCATGCCAAAATATTTCTAAAACAAAATATTCAACAGGAAGTATCATGAGGGTCTCAACTGATACCTAATAAAGGACATGACACTAACCTCAAAAGCCAGTATTAAGAGTATTAATAAGCCTTAAACCAAGAAGCCTTTTCTGTTTAGCCTAATGCAAATTATTTAGATGAAAAGGCCATGGAATAACCAATATTTAAAAATAAGTTATCAGAAAAACCACAATTTAAATTGAAAAAAGTCTCCCCTTTCCATGAATGACACATTATCTAATTATATATGAATAGCTGCTGACCTTCCCCCCTCCCCCCACCATGGAGATTACTGTGAACGCAGCAGGCATTTTAAAACAACATGGGGTCAAAAGAAAGGGAGAAGGGCTGTATGAGGTAAACTGAATAGGCTTACTTTGTGGCCTGGTTTTAAATTACATCTATAAAGATTAATGGTTAATAAGAAAACTTCTGGCAAACTTCTGAAACAATTCAACATTCGTGTGAGTTCCAAACATACCCCTCCACTATCCAAGAGAGTTTTTGCAAGAAAAATGGAAGGGCACCGTATGGGAGTTCAAAGGTGACCCAGCTGTGGAAGAGGACAGTGCCAGGAGGACGCTGATTCCAAAACATCTCTAGAAATCATGGCAAGGAGGGGGAAGAGCACTAATCCAGGTTCTTAATCCAGCCCCTGAAGCACAGAGGCTCCTAGAAGCCTCAGCCTGGCCGCACCACCCATCAGGAATCCATTCTGGGCTGCTGAGGACTAAGCAGTCTTCGTAACTGCTCCCCTCGAGAAACAGGCATCCTGACCCTGGCAGCCCCCAAGCCGTTGCGTCCCTGGAACAAAGCCTCCCTCCCGGGCGGCACTGCCCACCGGGCACCTACTCTGCATCTCGATGAACTGCAGGTCCGAGCCGTTGTGCAGCCCCGCCAGGTCCGCAGCTGCATTCTCGCTCCGGGAGCACTTCTGCCGCTCTTCCTCGAGCTGCAGCTTCAGCCTCCGGATCTGAAACAGAGAGAGAGGTCTGTCACGAAATCCACAGGGCCGGTCCTCGGCCACCCAAAACTGGAGCGCCCACCATGGGGCCAAGGCCAGGTGCGCTAGCCACAAACTGAGTGACGTCAGAAGAAGCGAGCTCCAGGACCACGTGTCCCCATCAAAGCCGCCCTGTTTTATGTAGGCTGGTGGAACAGCAGGTCTGTTCAGCGTTTTTCACTGCTCTTATTAAATTCACTTTTTAATAAAATTCCATGTGCAGTTAGATGGTTTTGTTTTCTCTTAGAATTAGGGTAAATATTCTAGGTTAAATATTTAGGAAACAAATACCAAAACTTGAAGTCAATTAAATATTAAATGTTAAATTAGTATTAAATATTAACACATATATTAGGTGAAATATTTAGAAAACCCTGTGTATGCAGAAATAATGTATCAAACACAGTTGATCTACCTTACTTTATCCAAAATAAAGGATGTTCATAGTAGCTTATTCATAATAAGCTGGAAATAATCCAAATGTCTGTCAACAGGAGCATAAACTGTGGCACATCTGTACAGTAGAATTACTACCCACCAAAAAAGGGAAAAGCATACTACTGATATGTGCAATGATAAGTATGCCACACGGAAGATGCCAAACAAAAGAGGAGAAGGACACACTGTGTAATTCCAATTATTTAAAACTACAAAATGCAAACACTAATCCACAGTGACAGAAGAAAGCCAGTCAGCAGCTGCCTGGAGAGGGGGAGAGGAGGCTCAGGAAGGAAGGCTTACTAAGGGACACCAAAACTGGAGAGTTATGAATACTTTCACCATTTGGACTATGGTCATGGTTTCATTAGTATTGTTATGGCTTGAGTTGTATCCTTATGTAATTCATATGTTGAAGTTCTAACTCCCAGTACCTCAGGATGTGAACTTACTTGGAAATAGAGCCACTGAAAATGCATTTAGTTGAGATGGAACAGGATGATCCCCAATCCAACATGATGTCCTTATAAAAAGAGCCATATCAAGAGAGACAAACACGTACAGAGGAAAGATGATGTGAAGACATGAAGAATGCTATCTACAGGTCAAGGAATGCCAAAGACTACCAGCACACCACCAGGAGCAAGAGAAGTATGGAACAGATTTCCCTTCACAAGCCTCAGAATGAACACTGCTGGGCAACCCGGTGGCTCAGCGGTTTAGTGATGCCTTCAGCCCAGGGTGTGATACTGGAGACCCGGGATCGAGTCCCGCATCGGGCTCCTTGCATGGAGCCTGCTTCTCCCTCTGCCTGTGTCTCTGCCTCTCTCTCTCTCTCTCTCTCTCTCTCTCTCTCTCTCTCTCTCTCTCGCTGTATCTCTCACGAATAAGTAAATTTTAAAAATCTTAAAAAAAAAAAAAAAAAAAGAATGAACACTGCTGCCACCTGACTGCAGGCATTTGCTAATCTCCAAAACTGTCCAGACAGGAAATTTCTGTTGCTCTAAGCCACCCAGTTTGTGGCAATTTGCTATGGCAGCCCTCAGAAAGTAATACAGTAGGTACATTTGTTTGTACACTTTACGTATGAGTGGCTTATTCTACACCAGTTATACCTTAATGAAGCTGTGGGGTTTTTTTATTTTGCAAACTAAAGAAACTAAAACTGAATCAAATGAAAAGGAACTCTGGGCTGAAAAAAGACAAGGCCCAGTGGACACAAGAGTCCCCCCCACACACAGAGAACAAGGAGATTGGTGAACAGACATATACTGCATGCTGAGGCCCCCAGTCTGGCCTCAGTTCCCAGAATGCTCCCAGCAAGACTGCTCCCTGCACTGAGCACGGGGGGGATGGCTCCGTGCAGACCATCCATCTAGTCTAGTAAAGACCAACATTCTCATGTCAAAATTTCCCAACAAAACACCCAGCCGCATCAGCCTTACAAAGATAGGGACATCTGCTCAGAGGTGCCCATCAGCATTTTAATTCCGCCCCCACCCCCCAAAACTTAGGGCCAAGTAAATATACATCAGAGAGCATCAGGAAATAAACTATGCTAATGGAAGGAAACAGCAAAGAACAGTGACAAACTATCAATATCCTCCGATATTGTGAAAATATCTGCATCCTGGAAATGACTGCAGAAACACAAGCCCAATGGAAGTATTCAAAGCTAAAGCTGAAACAATCTTTCAAAAGTAAAGCAAAAGAGATAAAGGGATGGACAAATAGGAGAGAAACAAAAAAGTCAAAGCACTGGTCCCAGAGGTGTACTGCCCCCTCCTTCAGAAATCAGAGCTGTGTTTTCCTAAATGCCTACAGGTCTTGCCAGCATAGATTTGGGGAGCACTACAGCTCAGAACTCCAAGGGGGACTGAGCCTCCCCAGGCCTCCTTTGCCTTTCATCATCAAGGGTCAGTGTGATACTCAGGGTTAAAGGGGCTTCCCTAGCTGGGACCCTGTCACCAGTGGTCACGGGGAAGCCCGGGCATTAAGACCAAGTGTGCCACACCCCAGTGGGGAAAGGGCAAGCCCTGTGCTAGGAGGAAACCCATGCTCCCCAGATACCCCTAGCCTTTCAACATCTGCCCTGAGTGAACCGGGACTAGTTTTTCATTAACCCCATCATAATTATATCCAACTCAAAGCACTCATCCTCCTGCACTCTTCCTCGCAGGGCTCTCTCTGCACAGCCACCTTCCACCTCTGCATCTCTCCTAACCCCGCCCAATGCCTGAAACTCAGCCTCTGAATGGTCCCTTCACCTAGTGCATTAGCAGAAACCCACTCTCCCCTGAGAAGCCTGTTCCCTCTGCAGCCTGCTGACCTTCTAGCAAGTTCTCCCACAGCCCTCCTACCACTTAGCCTGAGAATGGAACACATGACCTGCTTTCTGTGCTGTTGCCCAACTTATTCTCCCTTGGTACTCCCCTAAAATTCCTGCTTCCAGACCTCCTCCCCTCCAATTCCACATACCAACCACCCCTCATCACGGCTATCACCCCACTCCTCTTCACCATTCAGTTCCTGACCCACACTCCCTCTCAAGTAAAGCCTGGATACTTTCAAGATTCGTCTAGGTAGAGGCTTTCTCCTATGACTGATGGCAGTATCTGGAACACGTCCTCTCCAAGGATCTTGCCATCTATCTCCTTTTGCCCTCACTACTCTCCCCAGGCACATACTAGAGCTCCCACTAGGCAAGTGCAATCCCTGCATGAGTCAGTCCCATTATCCTCTCTCTGACCTTTATATTCCTGGTCTTTCCAGCTCCCTCTCAGGACCCCAAATCCCCAAATCCTTCAATCCCACTGATATTTCCCATCTTCTTTCCCCTGGGTCTTGACATCTTCCTGGATTACCCATTTGCCTCCTAACCCACGTAATCTCTGGGGCCATCATTATCAATATTCTTGTGCACACGTCCTCACCTCCTCTGCCCACAGTTACACTCCTGGGTGTACACACCTGCACCTATGCCCGCTAAATGTGGCTAGAGAAATGCATAGACTAAGTGTGTTCACACAAACCTCTAGCATACCATCTAACTTACATGTTCATTACATCTATTGTTTATTGTCTGGTCTCCTCCCACTAAAATGTAAGGTCTATTACTGCAGGGATTATTTAACTGATTTGTTCACAGAAATATGCCAAATGCCTGGAATAGAGCCTGCTAAGTGGTGGAATCTCATTCAACATTCAAACAACTGAAAAGGAGTTTCAAAAAGAGATAACAGAATATAAGAGGAGAAAACCAGTCAAGAAATTTCCCCAGGATTGAAGATAGGAATTCCTAGAATTGACAACTCCAAATCACATCACTGTGAAACTTCCAAACACTAAGGAGGAAGTATGATAATAAGCTGCTACAGAGAGGAAGGAATCACATACAAAAGATGAAAAATCTGAATGCCCTTGAAATCCTCAACATACTGGCTTCTGCGGAAGCCAGAAGACAATGAAGCAATTTCTTTAAAAAAAAAAAAAAAAAAGATGAAGGAAAATGATTCCAATGAAGAAAAATTCTATACACAAACTGTTAAGTAATAGGGTAAAATGAAGACATTTTCAGGCCTCCAAAGTTAAGAAAAATGTATAGCCAATGAACCCTTTTCTCGGGAAGTTACTGGGGGATGTATCAAGGAACGAATAAAAAAGGAGGAAGTAATAGGGCATTACAAAAAGGGAATCCAACCTGCACCACAGGCAGAGGAAATCCCAGGTGGCAAGGACAGGCAGGCCATTATGTTCTCACGGGGCCAGGTCTGACGCTCCAAAAGTCAACAAGCGGAACTGAGATAATATTTGGCACATGTGAAAACACTAAGACAAGATTTAACTACTGCTGCAGACATGGCAGCTAAACTGGTAATAAATACACAGGAAACCAAGCAGAGGCAAAAAAAAAAAAAAAAAAAAAAGCCACAGTATTAACTCTGGGGGAGTTGGACCTGTGAAGAGAGAAAGTTGCAGGGCTCCATGGCAAGTGGTGCTTACAAGTCCTGATAACATGCACAGACCGGATGCACACTATGCCTTCACTAGGAGGATGGGATGACAGAGGCTAGATGGTCATCTTCCAGAGGGGTGTCAACAGACCGTGCCCCAAAAAGAACCATCAAGAAACAACGGAACCTATGAGATAGAAATACACCAGAATGGTACACATGGAAATTTGCTAAACCAATAGGAATGGTCGGGGTGAAGGTGAGGAGGCAGGGCACAGAATTCTCCTCTTCACAACAAGCTTCAAAGAACTATTTAACTCCTTAAACTCCATATCCAATCAATTTTTTGAAAAGAACAGGAAACAACAAATATGAGTTATCCTTTTGTCCTTCAAATCTTGCTTGAGTACTGATGTTTGAAATAAGCACATTTCTTTTTTGTGTACATCTTCATTCGCTAACATTTTGCCATTATTTAGTCCATTAAATCAACAGGACCTTCCAGTGAGAAGAATGCCTTTACCTGTGATAGTAGCTCTTCCTTTTCTCCAGCAAGTTTTCGTAGCCTGACATCTAAAACAAATGGAAAATAAACTAAATTTGTGATGATACAGTGCCGAAACAATTATTCATGAAATTAAAAAACTGCAAACATTATCTGATAAACAACTTCTAGCTCTCAATATCAAGAGAAATGAAGGCTTAAGTTAATGGTGCAAAGGAAATGTACTTAGTTATTTAGCGGTTGTGTATTTGTACACAACTGTTAGCTATCAAGGCACTAAATACAACATTTGCTCCCAAGGGCAGTGATTTTCCATTTAAGACAAACCAAAGTACAAAGATCACTTCCTTGTTTCAAAAATGTGCAAGCTTTCACCAGCAGACAGACAACTCAAATACCGGGGTGCTCTCACAGGCTTAATTAAGCCTCACAGGAGCAAACAAAATCTGGGAGAAAAGACAGGCAGGGTAAGAAGGGGCCCAGGTGGAGAGGCTGGAAGAGAGAAAACAGGAACACAATGCTGAAGGAGCACAGACCCACACAGGCTAGTGGGGGAAGTGGAGACCAACTGTGAGCCACAGGCAGGCAGTCAGTAGAGGACTGATCTGGGGTGTGGCTGCAGGATTGCTAGGGCTCACTCCCAAGCAAGCCTTAAAACAAGCTCCTTACACTGAGGGGGACCATAGATGAGTAAAAGCAGCAGCTGACAATGAGCCAGTGCCTCCCACAACCAACTAAGGTCACGACCAAACATAAGAACTGGTTCCCCCAGTACCTTCCAAATAAGCAGAGGAAGCCCTGGACTGCCCCCAGCCACACACTCAGTGCCTTTTCCCCCTGCCTCGCCTGGATCCTCTGCTGTATCAAAGTGTTCCACTATGTGTTTACTAACTCTGAAAATGTCCCACTCCTCTAGGAAACCCATACAGAATGAAAACAAAAGAAAAAATATCTTTTTTAAATTAAAAAAAAAGTGAGCTGGTGGCTGAGTATCCATGCAATTTTCCTTCCTCTAGAGCAGAATTCTTAGTGGAGCCAATGGGTAGGCATCTGTGTGGCTTCCTGGGAGAGGTGTTATTAAAGTCTCAAAAGCTTAAATTTAAGAGGCTTAGATTTTAAGAGGTTCAGAAACTCTGCTCTAGAAACACTCCTCTAAGATCTGACTTCTTGGTCATCTGTTTCTTGCCTTAAGAAGCGCAGTGGCCAAGAGCTACAGAACCCTGGGATAAGTAGCAGAGCATAAAACCAGATTCTCCAGGAAAAAGAAACTTAAAACATACTTGGGAAGTCCCCTACCAGCCCGCTGGTTCCCTGGGACACATGTGCTGGATCATGTCTTCTGGGAAGGTTTGTATTTAAGTACAAAAGCAATGTGTATACACCAACAGTGCTTCTATCCAGGACCCTTACAATGACCCAGATGCTGGTTTCCCAAGATCAAGGATGCCTAAAGACAAGGTGCCCAGATTTCTTCCTGCTAAGAATTTAGATAAACCTCAGATGGCCCTTGTGTTATTTTTGTTATCCGAGATGGGATATGAGTAAGCCAGAAGTCTAATGGGACAGTGAATCCAAGTCAACATAGCAGCAGGCAGCATCTTACCTAGTGGACCTTCTCCTGCGGACTCCAAGACCTGAGCAGCCTCCTGAGACACCACGGTGATGGCTCCGACCACTGGTTCATGATTGACATCACCATTGGGAGTGCCATCAGGAATTATAACTAAGCCATGTTTCTGTGGAGAAGGAAAAAACCCACATCACAAAACATGGCCCACGTGGAAGCAGTATGCTCTGTCGGGCAACTCTGTGACCATAGTTTTGCCACAGGTAACATCCGGTTAGAACTAGTGACATAGAATATAGCTCCGTAGAAGAAATGACCGAAACCTACCAAATCTGCATTGAAGAATGAACGCTGGTTTGTCTTCGGGCTGGGAAAGATAACAGGATGAAAGGAAGAAAGAATAAAGCAGTGAGGGATTGAACTCCAGGCTAAAGCTAACATACCTCTCCTGTCTTCACTGTCTCCTTCAGGTCAGCCAGCTCCTCTCTGAGCGTATCTCGCTCATTCCTAAGGCAGGCAATGTATTCTTTCTGTTTCTCTAGGGCCTGGTTTTAGACAGGGTAGCAAGGGAAAGAATGGCACAGAAAAAGAGCAAGTGAAAGAAGTAGCAGAGAGCACCTAATTCAAATAAACAAAGATAAGGGCATAAAAGACAAAGGAGTAATAAAAGCTTAGAAACTGGCAGTTAGATATGGGAGGAAATACAAGGTCATATGGACACACATCTCCACAGGAGACTTTTAACAGAAACTGGTTAATCGTGCATCAATTCGCCAAAACATGCTCATCACATCAGGCAGGAGAACTGATCTTTCTTTTCCAGTTGATGAAAAAAAACAGGAAAAGGAAGATGAAGACAGCAGTAATATTAAAATAAAGTTTTCCTTACTGATCTCCTTACTATAATCAAAACAAACAAACAAATACACTTCATGTTTAACTAAAATTGTTCATTCAAGAATACAGTGAAAATTCTTAATTACAAATTAATTTTAAAATGTTTTAATTAAAAAAAAATTTTAATGGCCCTGGAAGAAAAAAATAACCAGTATGCACAAGCTATCTTACTTAAATATTGGCTGTAGTGATTGTTCTTCAAGCAGTATGGCAAAATATTCCTCAAAAACCACTTACTTCAAAATAGCTATCTCGGGATCCCTGGGTGGCGCAGCGGTTTGGCGCCTGCCTTTGGCCCAGGGCGCGATCCTGGAGACCCGGGATCGAATCCCACATCGGGCTCCCAGTGCATGGAGCCTACTTCTCCCTCTGCCTGTGTCTCTGCCTCTCTCTCTCTCTCTGTGACTATCATAAATAAATAAAAATTTAAAAAAATTAAAAAAAAAAACAAAATAGCTATCTCCAAAGTGATTCCCAAGGACCTATTTTTTTTTGTTGTTGTTGTTGTTAATTTAATTAAATACAATTAAAAATCATCTGGTTTCTGGTATACCCTTCTAAATGGGAAAAACAAAATTAAAACACTGACAAAATAAATGCAGCCCACCTATGGAGTGCAGCAGAGTATGGGTTTGGGGATCAGGCTTTTGAGTCCTGGCACGTACTAACTTAACCTATGCCTCAGATTTCTCATCTGAAAAACAGAAGGGACAACAGCAGTACTGCCCATGTACATAGTGTGAGCACTGATGCAGTGCGAGAGTCCCAGGGAAGGCTCAGGGAAAGCCCACCACTTTTTTTTTCTTTCTTTTTTTTTTGGGGGGGGGGGGAATATTTGTTTTATTTTGTTGTTATTTTTAAAATTTTCCATAACTATTATCCTTTTTCTTATAAATTTATTTTTTATTGGTGTTCAATTTACCAACCTATAGAATAACACCCAGTGCTCATCCCATCAAGTGCCTCCCTCAGTGCCCATCACCCAGTCACCCCCACCCCCCGCCCACCTCCCCTTCCACCCCCCGTAGTTCGTTTCCCAGAGTTAGGAGTCTCTCATGTTCTGTCTCCCTCTGTGACATTTCCCACTCATTTTTTTCTCCCTTCCCCTTTATTCCCTTTCACTATTTTTTATATTCCCCACCACTTTTTTTTTTACTTAGATCTCCCTTGCCACTGCCTGAATCACAACTGTCAGAGCTGAGACCAACAGTGCAGAAGTAAGCACATGCTTCGGTCATCGCTGAAAAATCAGATCTGTTCTATGTAATGAAATAACCCAGAATTCAAAACATACCCCAGGCAAGCAGTCTATGCAGACACCTGACAGCCAGACTATTTTGAAAAAGCCTTTCTCTACACAAGTGTTCGTATATTTAATATTTTCTGCCAACAGCCCCATTAGGCCAAGAAGTTAAACTACAACAGGTAACTTTCCTCTCAGTTTACAGGGTTAGAAACCAAGCCAACTGCTTCATTACTGATTAAATCATTACAGTCTTACTGTGCACCCAAACTGGCAATAAGTAAATAAGGGATGCTAGCAACCACCATCCATGTAGCTCCAACTATATCGTATGCAGTGCTACAAAGACATGTAATTTTGCCCTAATATATTTACAATTTCTCCCTTATACATCCTGCACTTGTTTTATCTCCATTTCACATATCAGAAAACTGAAGCTCAAAGAGATGTTTATATAAATATAATTTTTCCCTCTCAAAGTTGCAGTAAGTGGCAAAGCCAGAAAGCGAATCCAGTTCTTTTTGGTTCCAGTTCAGTTTGGTTCCAAAACCTTTGCATACTTTTCTATGTCACAGTCCCAAGAAGGCCACGATTATGTTTCCTTACTGTCATCCCAGATGTTGCTGGAAAAGTAGTCTGTAAGGGCATGCCCAACCCATACTCACCCAAACTGCAACACCACTATCTGATTTCCTTTCAGCAATTTACATTCACACCATACGGCATGTTTTGCCTTTATATTAATAATTTGAGTTTCTGGCATCATGAGGCATTTACCCTAACACTGCAAGCTAATATTACCACTCTATTACATTAATAACAAATGTTAATATCAGGACAAAAAAGCACAAAGCAATACTTTCCCATCTGTTGACAGACACTTTAACTTCTGTGGGTTAGATATTTGTGGGTTATTGGTAGCTGCGTGCATAGTTATGCCATGCATCACCACATATAACCGGTCAGTGATCATTGCCACAACATGCTCTACATAAACAACACCACTAAATAAATATACAAGATCTCTTAGGAACAGACCAATTTGAAACTAGAAATTCTAGCAAATGCCAGAACATGCCATTTGCCCCTCTTCCTACATCTTATAGCAATGGATTTTATCTCTACTTTCAAACTTTTTTATTTCATCTTCCCAGAATTATGGACGGGAAAATAAAATACATCCCATAAGTTCTCCCCTTTCACCACAAAGTTTGGAGGCTACCAAAATATCTTATAATTGGAGCAAATGTATTCACATTGGCTCTGAAGTCCTCTGTAGAACCTGACCATAAAACCACTACCCTGTGCTTGCATTCAATAATAGCTCTTACAGTAGATTCCACCAACACCCCCTCCCCCTCCAGGATAAAAACTACATGCTTGTGGGATCTAAGTAATTCTTTACCCTTGACCTAACCTCAAATTCTAGTGTCAAGAAGCCTGAAAGTTATGTGTAACAGGCTGAACTTAGGGGGCAACAGGTTATTTTTCCATGTAATTGCACGGGGCCAGAAATATCTTTAGTCAGAATGGGAGTGAGTCTCATAGTGGGCTATCCAGTCCTTTCTATGTACTTATTCTACACATCACCACTTGGAACTTGGAACTGCTTTAGGGCTACAAGCATGACTACAAGGACTGATGAAGGAGAACCAAAGAAAACCAAACTCTAGCATGAGAACAATGGCCATGTTCCTTTACTAACTTGCTAACTTTAAATCTTGAAAATGAAGCTAGAGACAAGTGATATATTAGGTAGTCAAAGTCACTGACTATACTGAAAATGTGTCTTATGTAAGTCATGGGAAGACCACATCAGGATGGCTGCCAGAAAAAAACAGAAAACAGAAAAAAAAAAAAAATGGAACCCTTATGCAGCGTTGATGAAAATGTAATATGGTATAGTTGTTGTGGAATACAGTCTGACTATTCCTCAAAAAACTTAAACATACCATTGCCATATTATGCAGCAATTCCACTCCGTGTTATGTATAAACCCAAAGAAATGAAAGCAGGGTCACAAAGAGGTATTTGCAAACTCATATTCACAGCAGCATTATCCACAATAGCCATAAGGTGGAAGCAAACCAAGTGTCTGTCCACCAACAGATGAATGGATAAACATGGTACGTACAATGAAATATTATTATTAAATTAAATATTATTCGTCCTTAAAAAGGAAAGACGTTCTGACACGTGTCCCAAGGCAGATAAACCTTGAGGACATTATGCTAAGTGAAGTAAGCCAGTCACAAAAAGACAAAGACTCTAGGATTCCACTTAAATGAGGTACCTAGAATAGTAAATCCATAGAGACAGAAAGTAGAATGATGGCTGCCAGGTGCTACTGGGAGAAGGAAATGGGGAGCTGTTTAATGGGCACTGTTTTGTTCTGAAAGATGAAAGAGCTCTGGAGATGGATGGTGGTGATGGTAGCACAACAGAGTGAAGGTACTTAATACCACCAAACTCTACACTGAAAAATGGTTAAAGTGGTAAACTTTACATTATTATTATATTATTATTATTATTATATTATTTATATTTGTATTTTACCACAATTTAGAAAGTTTCCTAAAAAGTCAAAGGAAGAACCAACTATCGATACATGCAACTTGGATAAATCTCAAGGGACTTATGCTGAGTGAAAAACATAACCCTAAAGGGTTAAATACTGTATGATTCTATTTATATAATAGTCTTATAATGACAAAATTACAGAAATGAGAAAGATTAGTGGTTGCCGGGATTTGGGGAGGACTAGGGGAGGTAGTAGATAAGGCTATAAAAGGGCAACGGAAGAGATCCTTTGCGGTGATGAAAATGTTCTGTATTTTGCCTATAGCAAGGTCAATATCCTGGCTGTGATACTGTATTACAGTATTTTTTTTAAGATTTTATTTATTCATGAGAGATACACACAGAGAGAGAGAGAGAGAGAGAGAGAGAGAGAGCCAGAGACATAGGCAGAGAGAGAGAAGCAGGCTCTATGCAGGGAGCCCGATGTGGGACTCGATCCCGGGTCTCCAGGATCATGCCCTGGACCGAAGGCAGATGCTTAACCACTGAGCCACCCAGGCATCCCTGTATTACAGTTTTTGCAAACTGTTACATCTCGGGAAAACTGGGTAAAGAGCATACAGGACCTCTCTGTATTACTTCTTACAATTGCATGTGAATCTACAATTACCTCAAAAAAAATTTTTTTAAGTTAAACTTTTAAAAATAGCCAAAGGATCACATTATTATATATCATACAGAAAGAAGATAGCCACTTATTCATTCAATAATGCCATAGATACTTAAAAGTCAAATAATTTGTCTTAACTATAAGCACATCTTTTTGGTAGGAAAAAAACATCTTTTTTATTTTGAACAGCTATTTTATTAGAATGAGTGCTTTGGGGTTTTCCTATGGCTGATCCAAAATAATCAGTTTAAATACTAAGATAATTATACAAAATAGAAATCATGGACGTACAGATCCATGCTAAAGAATATTATGTTAAGGTCCTAAACGGAAACCATTCTAGATAGTGACCAGACTCTAATGAACCCTTACAAATTACCTACTTTGTGCCATACATTTTTTTCACATCTCACTTTAAATTCCCCAAATAAAAATGTAAATAAAATCAGCAGTTCATAGTCAAAATCTCACAACTCTTAACAGTCATTAATTTTTATTCCAGAAGACTCTTCTGGCTTTGGGTGGATTTTTAGAAACTCTGTATTTAAATAGTGGAAACTCCTAAAAAGTAAAAAACAACAACAATAAAAAACCCTCTTAAGATGTAATTTTGTTTTCCATATGCTTATTAATAATAAGAGGATAGGGAGGCACCTGTGTGGTTCAGTTGGTTAAGTGTCTGCCTTGGGTTCAGATCATGATCTTGGGGATCCTAGGATTGATCAACTGATTGGCCCCCTCTGGGAGTCCTTGCTCAGCGGGGAATCTGCCTTGCCCTCTCCCTCTGCCCCTCCCCCCCTGCTCCTGTGCTCACACTCGGGCTCTCTCAAGTAAGTAAATAAAACCTTTAAAGAATAATAATAGTAGGGATCCCTGGGTGGCGCAGCGGTTTAGCGCCTGCCTTTGGCCCAGGGCGTGATCCTGGAGACCCGGGATCGAATCCCACGTCGGGCTCCCGGTGCATGGAGCCTGCTTCTCCCTCTGCCTGTGTCTCTGCCTCTCTCTCTCTCTCTGTGACTATCATAAATAAAATAAAAAAAAAAAAAAGAATAATAATAGTAAGAGGACAGGTCCTTGGAGATATGAAAAGAACTGGATACAAGCACCCTCCCCACAATGAAGGGTATGACTCAGAGGGCTTCTCATCCAGGCATGTCTATCACAGGTGTTCTTGGGGATCTTTGCCAACTTTTCCCTATGCCACCTAACCTCAAGCAGAACAAATCTTTCTATGTTCTCAGGACAAGGGTTTCCTCTCTCTGCTTCCTCCACCATAGCCCCTCTCTGACAAGGTAAGCCTCTGGCAGCTATGGCTGTGTGGTACCAGTGCAGAACAGAGAGCTTATTAAGCCATGAGATGGGGTACGTGTCAAAGGGTGACACAGGATGAAATGGTGGGAATTTTTCCAGCCTCCTGTGCACTTGGAATCTACCTAAAGTGCTTAGCAAAAGAAGCACTGAAGACTTTCCTTATCTGGGCCCCTGCTCTGGGGAATCATGGGGTTATAATTAGAGATGACGTCATGGTTTGGCAAATCCAACAAATCTTACATTCCTATTCACTTCCGTAACTAAATTGATGTTAATCTCTTCCCATTTTATTCACCAAGGATTTATGGGATGGTAATTACTTGTCCTCCACCCCCCACTCACTGTTCTCTTGCTTCTCATCCAAACTTCTTGCAATGTAAGGATATCAAGTTACCCACAGAGTTTGAATTAAACGCCTGTGGCAGCTTCTGGATAAGAATCCTGGGGAAATAAACTTCCCTAGAAATTTCCTAGTTTGTAGGTTTCACAAACCCAGAGTCCACTAGAAAGAAGAGTTCTTTCCAGGCATAATATTGAGTTTTCCCCTGGGAGTTTTTTTTCTGTCTCCTGCTTATTCACATTTCAGTGTATAAATGCTCAAAAATAACAGAAAGGACAGATTCTTATGAATCTCTAAGTTAAATTATATTGGTCTATTCCTTATCAATGGGCTTCAGACCAAAGCCCAATTTCATTTCATACCCTAATGTTTTTATCTTTCCAAAGAAGTGTCTCCTGAAGGTCAAACACCTCTTTTGTCATGGTGTCTATTTTCTGCTGCATTCGTTGATTCTCCTGCAGAGGAAAGGGGGAGAGAATAAAAGAGCAGAAAGAAAAAACGGTTGGGGTCCGAAGGAGGAAAACAGTATAAAAAATAAAGCTGATAAATTTAACAAAGGGAGAAAGTAAGTCTGTGATGAACAAGAGAGGCAAGAGCTGCTCACTAAAGGGAAAGATGACATCCAGTGTCTTGGCCACAGGCCTCCTGCTGGCTTGCCCCAGGGGAAGTGGGAAGAGCTGCTGCAAACACAGCTCTGAGGCAGCAAGCCAGCTAGGGTTTCTGTGTACATGCAGCTCCATGTGTGTACTCTTCCTCTGATTACTGCCTTTTCTCCAAACATGGAACAACTTCTAGAGAAGGAAATTCAGATTTGCTTAGGAACACATGATCCTTATCACAGAGAACAAGCAGTTTTAAACTTTTTTTTAAGCAGAACTAAAAATACAAGACATATCTCAGTTTAGTCATTTTGAATTTGTTAGCAGAACCTACAACAGCAAGAATATCATGAATTCGAATGAACAGTCATATTTTTAGTCTAGTTTTTTAGAAAAACTAGAATTTAGCATGTAGCAATTCTTAAAATAACAGTTCTCCTTAGGCAACAAGCCTCAATTTATACCCTTTACTGTTTAACAGGTTTTCTTTTAAGAATTATTAGTAAATGATCATCTCCCATTTTCCCTACTTACACATTTCTTATATACTTTACAATGAAAGACCAAAAGGCATTATTTTGTCATATCCAAGGTTTTCGGTTATACATAGACATAGGTATTAACATCTAAGAAATGTTAATTCTAAACATAAAAACTCCTAAAACTAAGGTCTTTAAAGTTTGTATATCCAGCACCCTTGGCTTTTAAAGAAACCAGTGACAAGTTATGGGAATCAAGCATTATACAATTCCTCTTAAGCATAATCATCAAATTAACTTACCCAATTCTGACTTAAGCTACTGAATTTGAGAAGCAGCTGCCAAAGTAGTTTTATTATTCGTTTGAAATCAAAAGTGGGGGAAAGTATATATCTTAATTAGAAAAAGAAATAATAAGTGGCTGGCATATTGACACACAAAAAAGAACACAAAAAGCCAAAAGAGAGGAATACACAGTATTTTTAAATACCAGCAGGATACAAAATTTAAATAATATGCTTCATGCCAAAAATGGAAAAACTAGGACAACTAACTTCAGATGTAATCTGATAATTTCAAAGGGTTATGTGTCTGCCTTTAGAATTCACAAACTCTACCTGCTTTCAGCCAGCTACATTCAATCATTCTCAAGAATGAAGAAAAGTAACACAAATCCACATACAGAAAAGTAGTCATTTCTTTTCCTCTATTAAGGTTTTTGCAAGTCATTTACAGGGTGAGAGATTAGTGGGGCAGGTCCATTGGAGGAAGAGAGAAAGAGGGAGCAGAACAAAGTGGGGGCAGGGCAAGTCCTGAGCAGCAGGAATATGGATGAGTAGGAGTGTGGTGCAGGAGGCATTTCTCAGGGATCATTAGGAGCTGGCCTTCCTGAAATCACACTCATGTCATCAACATTAAGTTAACATAAGACACCTTTGATAACCACACCAAGACAGTGGGCAGGATCCTGTCCCAGCATACTTATAAAACATGAGGAAAAACCTCAAGAGGAAAAACCACATTTAAAAAAAAAAAAAAAACAGATGCTCACAAGGTAGCAGGAACAAAAGGATAATAAAGGCTTTTCAAAGATTTCTTGGTGGACCCTACTGGTTTGCATTCCTGAGATGCTGCCAACACCATGGCACTTGGGGTTCCTCCAGTAGCACAACCTGCCAACCTTCACCTTTTTGTATGTAAGGTGTCTATCTTGAGCAGTCCTTTCCTTTAGCCGCCTCAGAAATAGATCTACCTCAGTCAAGATCAAATGTCTCACTCCCCAAGAATCCTGTCCCAGCAGACAGCATTCACTACATTCCAAAGGTTAATGGTACTTGTAATTTTGCCTTTTGCCCATTTTCTAAGATATCTTTAGGAAAGAATATGCTTAGGAATAAAAGATAATTACAAAAGCTTTTGCTATTGCAAGGGGGAATGTTTATAAGGTTGGTAGCATTAATTTTTTAAGCCTGACTCTATGTTTCATGTGTGTGAAATTTTAGGGTACAGCCAAGATGAAGAGACAAGGAAACTGTGGCATTTTAACTCCCTTCCCTCCCAACATACACTCCTTTGTCACATTCAATGCATTTTGTTCAAAATTAAGTATTTCACAGTTCATGCACATACCTCAATAAGCTCATCTCTCTGTCGAAGGCCTTCTTTAAGTTCATCCATCTTATGCTGCAGCACACTACACATATGTTTCTGCCTTTCTAACTCCTGTTAAGAAACAAATGATACAACTGACACAGATAATGGCACATGACAAACTGGAACATCTACAATATAGTAATACAGAAGTTAAGTATGACCTCCAGAAACACACTTGGACTTCCCATGCCTGATAACTTAGAAAAATTCTGAAAAAAAAAAAAAAAAAAGAAAAGAAAAATTCTGTTTTCTATGGAAAGATTCAGAAAATTAACATTTTTCATCTCCTAGGACCATACATCTAGAAAATCCAGACTAATGGGTGGCAAAATTACTAAGAACAATGAGATGACTTAATAAAGTAACAGGTTATAAAATTAATATGTAAAATTCAATAATCTGGGCGCCGGGGTGGCTCAGATGGTTAAGCGTCTGCCTTTAGCTCAGGTCGTGATCTTGGGGTGCTGGGATTGAGCCCCAAGTCAGGCTCCCAGCTCAGTGGGGAGTCTGCTTCTCCTACTCTCTCCCCACTCTCTCTGCGTCCCTCTGTCTCAAATGAATAAATAAGATCTTTAAAAATAAACAGATCAAATTCAATAACCTTTATAAGTATAAAAATCTAGAGAGAAAACATAATAAATGCAATATCAAAGAATAAAATTTTTTTATTTTTTATTTATTTTTTTCAAAGAATAAAAGTTTTTAAATGCATGTGTAAACTTACAAGAAATACTCAAAATCAATATGAGGAAAATCATATAAAATATTCCTGAGGGACAGAGAAGGAGAACCAAACAAATAGAAAAGCACACCATCTTTTTGGATTAAAAAAAACTCAGTATCATAAAAATGCCAGTTCTCCCTCAAATTAATCTACACATTTAATGCAGTCCAAATAAAAATACCGTTAGGTAAAAATACCATTAGGTAAAAAATATGCTTATTAATAATAAGAGGTAAAAATACCATTTATCAGAGATTGATAAATTGATTATAAAGTTTATTTGGAAGAAAAATATAAGAAAAAACAGCCAGAAAAAAATACTAATAATGAAGAAAGCTAGCCTTACTAGATATAAGGCCTATATAATTAAAACATTGTTTGTAAGGCCTTATGAATACAGACAAAAGTAGAATAGAAAATCCAGAAATACAGCCAGTTACATGTGCAAATATATTAAGCAACAACAAAACAAAAGGGGCATCCCAAATCAATAAGAAAAGATAAAAGAGTTTTATGTTAGTGAGGCTGATATCCACCTCGCACTACAAACCCGGACAAAGTTCAAATGAGTTGGAAGTTTATAAAAGGAAGAGACAGAAGGAAAGGATATAGTTACTTGAGAAAAAAAAAATGAGTGAATTCCTATAACCCTAGTAGAATAATGTCATTAAAAAAAATGACCTAAAAATCCACAAGCAAAAAAGGGAAATGGATAATAAGTTAGACTACATAAAAACTTTTGAATGGCAAAAGAAACTCTAAGCAAAATAAAAACACAAATGATAAACTATGGGAAAAAATTACACCTTATATCAGAAACAAAAGGTTACTGTCTCTCTGTAAATCCACTTTGATGACTCCCCAGCCATCCCGACAAAAATGCAAGATTTATGTAGTACATCATTTTTGCAGGACTAGTTTTAACAGCAAAAGACTGCAAATAATTCAAATGTCCATTAATAGGGAACTGATAGAATAAACTATACTGCAGTGCACACCATGGAATAACTATGTGGTAATACCAAAGAATGAGGAATACCCACAATCATAAGGTGATAAAGAGCAAGGTGGGAGTAGTATTTATAGTATGCTACCATTTTTTTAAGAAACGGAGGATAAAAACATACATATTTGTATATATTTTTTCAAATAGCAAAATATATTTACCCTTTTAAGCTAAAAAATGGAAGGATGAAGCATTTATGATTTTAAAAATCCCCTCAAGAAATAGGGATGAACAGAAATAGACAAGTGGCTTCTTTGAATACATTTTCTTTGCTGATTTGACTTCAGATATAAATATCTTATGTAACTGTAAAACGAAATTAAAGTGAAAGAGCAATTCCTGATGAAAGCAACCCAAGTGTCCACAGACAGATGAATGGATAAACAAAATGTGGTACATACATACAACGGAATATTAGGAAGGAAATTCTGACACATGCCACAACACAACGTGCATAAACCTTGAAGGCATTATATGAAGGATAATAAGCCAGTCATAAAAAGTCAAATACTGTATGATTTCACTTTTATGAGGTACCTAGAGTAGCTAAACTCAGAGAGAGAGAGAAAGAACAGTGGTTGCCAGGAGCTGATTGGGGGTGGGGAGTGGGGGGTGGGGAGGAGGGTAGATAGTTATTGTTTAATGGGTTCTGAGTTTCAGTTCTACAAGATGAAAAAGTTCCCATTGCACCACAATGTGAATATACTTGATATTACTGAACTGTCTGAACTGTAACACTTTAAAATGGTTAAGATGGTCAATTTGTTATATTTTTTTACCGCAATTAAAAGCAAAAATAATTTAAAGATAAAAATTTTAAAGCAATTTCTAAGTATAGAAAATAAAATGCAGTGAGCCTAATTATATAACCAGTTAGCATAAGTACAGAGAAAGAAACTATTTCAAGTAACTTTTCAAAACAATGGCTGGACTATAAGTAGTATAGCAGCAAAATAACAACCAACCAAAACAAAACAAAAAAACTTTTAACTATTTTCAGTAATTATGTCATTTGTGGCAACATTGGTATTGCTATTCTGAGCACTGTGGGATAGAGCAAAGAGAAGAGATTATAACGTAATTACTATCACCCTCAGTGACTTTGAGAACTGGCAGTGGGAAAACAGAGATATACATATGTAAAACAGAGGGTAAGGAAAAATGCTGGAATCCTAAACACGAACTAGAACTACCAGCATAAATTTATAATATATTTTGACCTTAAAACAAAAAAGTACCCCACATAAATATTTCCCCGATACATCCACTAAAGAGCCTTTATAAACAGTGATCATCTTAGTGGCAAGAGCTCTCTAGCACCCACACTGCTCCAAGGTTCCTTGGACAAACAGCTAATTCCAGATCTGGAGCAGGAATTGTACCAGATGAGCCTGGAACACTTTCTTGTGCTAGATACCAAACAATTTATCAAAAAAAAAATTAGATTCATGTCAAAATCAATCAACCTGAAAACATTCATATTAAAGGTTGAACAATTTGAAAATCAAGAATAATAAAAGCTACAATGAATTCAAAATCATCAAATACTTGTATTCTTGACTTCATAATGATTTAAAAAATTTTTTTGTTTGTTTAAAGATTTTATTTATTTATGAGAGACACACAGAGAGAAGCAGAGACACAGGCAGGGGGAAAAGCAGGTTTCATGCAGGGGCCCAATGTGAGACTTGATCCTGGGACTCCATGGTCACCCTGGGCCGAAGGCAGACGTTCAACCACTGAGCCACCCAAGGCGTTCCCATAATGATATTTTAAAATATTCTTAAGTTGTATCTGATAAGGAACTTTTATCTAGAATATATAAACTCTTTACAACTCAATAATAAAAAGACAATCCAATTTAAAAAAGAGGGGTACCTGAGTAGTTAGGTAGGTTAAGTGTCTGCCTTCCACTCAGGTCATGATCTCAGGGTCCTGGGATCCAGCCCCACATCAGGCTCCCTACTCAGTGAGAAATCTGCTTCTCCCTTTCCCTCTGCCCCTCCCTCGCTTGTGCTCTCTCTCTAATAAATAAATAAAATCTTTAAAAAAAAATAGGCAAAAAAAAAAAAAATAGGCAAAAGATCTGAATAGCTATTTCTCCAAGGAATATATGAAGCATATGAAAATCTATTCAAAATCATTAGTCATCAGGAAAACACAAATCAAAACCACAGCTGCTAGGAAGGCTGTAAAAAAAAAAAAAAAAGTCAGACAATGACAAGTGTTGGTGAGGCTATGGTGAAATCAGAACTCACATACACTGCTGGTAGGAATGTGAAATGATGTAACCATTGTGGAAGATGGTCTGGCATTCCTCAAATGGTTCAACAAAGAGTTGCCATATGACCCAGGAACCCCCTCCCAGGTACACACTTAACAGAAAGGACAACATACACAGACTTGTACACAAATGTTTACAGCAGCAGCATTCATCATAGCATGTGCATCATGTGTATCAACACACAAATGAACAAAATGTGGTATACCCATACAAAGGGATAGTATTAGACCATAAAAGATAGTGAAGTATCAACCCATACTACAATACAGATGAATGTCAAAAATATTTAAGCTAGGGGTGCCTGGGTGGCTCAGTGGTTGAGCATCTGCATTCGGCTCAGGTCGTGATCTCAGGGTCCTGGGATCAAGTCCCACATCAGGCTCTCCACAGCCTGCTTCTCCCTCTGCCTACATTTCTGCCTCAATCTCTCTGTGTCTCTCATGAATAAATAAAATATTAAAAAAAAAAAAAAAACTAAGCTAAAATAAAAGAAGCCAGCTTCAAAAGACCACACATCCTATGACTCCACTGACTGCAAGTTTAGAACAGGGAAATCTACAGAGACAGAAAACAGATGGATGGTTACTCAGGGCTGAGGGGGCAGGTGACTGAACAATGAGAACTAAAGGAGCCAAAGTTTCTTTCTGACGTTACCAGAGTACTCTAAAACTAACAGAGGATGCCTGCACCCAACTGTGAAGACACAAAAGGCCCTGAATTGTACACTTTAAACAGATGAACTGGATGGTATGCAAATTATTTTAATCCACTTTAAAATAATAAAAAAATAAAAGTCATGATAAAATTAGTACATCCTATTTTGCAACCCCTAATTAACAGATCGAATGTCCAACAACAGCACTACAAAAAGAAAGAGCCATACATTGGGGTCTCCTGCCAGAAGATAATCCTTGAAGCCGACTTGCCAAAAATGCCGCACCTATATTTGGTTAAGCCTCTAAACCCAACTACCTGTTTACAGAAAATACAGAAGAAAAGGGAACACGTTAAAGACACCAGAGGGATGAAACAGCAAAATCCCTAAGGCTGTTGCGAACTTTTAAGACAAGCAATTCAGTCTCTTCAACACACAAATTGAGAGGGAAAAAAAGAGAACGGGATGAAAGGAGACCTATAAATAAAAAAGAGACTTAAAAGAAATGACAACTAATTCCAACCTATGGAATTTATCTGGATCCTCAAGGTCTTTTTTTATTTTTTAACTATAAAAAAGAAAACCACTTAGGACATTTGAGACAATTAAAATTCTAACAATGGCTGGACATGTAGTATGAAGGAATTATTCTTAATTTTTCAGATGTGAAATGGTCTCATGGTTATAAAAAGAGAGGGAGTCCTTACCTAAACTCATATTAATATATGAGACCCTGAGGACTTGTCTCAGAGAACAAGAGTAGGGGAAGTGGACAGGGCAAAATTGGCCATTGGTTGATGGTTGCTGGGGACAGATGATGGGTTTATGAGGGTACAGAGTAGTCAACTATTCTTTGTATTTTTAAAAGCTCTAATAAGACACTTTTTAAAAATCTCCGGTAAGAAAAAAAAGAAAAATAATCCACTACTAAAATAAATAACTACTAAGAAAATAATAGAGACATTCCTAACGAGGCATTCTTCCACAGAGCAGGTATAGAGACAACTTTTAAGATACAGTTATAATCCCAGCAGAAAGCACCGAAGACTTTAAAAATTGTATTAATAGCATTGTTGTTGTAATTGAATGGTCCTTCTTTACCCTTTCCTTCTGAGCTATAATGAAACATACCTGAGTGCCTAACCTCTCTGTAGGTCTCTGAACATGAACATTCTACTGCATGAGGCAGTATCTATTTAGAAGAAGAGCTCAGGGGCATCTGGGTGCCTTAGTCAATTGAGCAGGTGACTCTTGACTTAGACTCAGGTCATCATATTGGTCATGATCTCGGGGTCCTGAGATCAATCAAGCCCCGAGTTGGGCTCCACACTCAGCATGGAGTCTGCTTGTACCTCCCCCACTCTCTGCCCCTGCTCTTGCTCAGCCTCCTGCACTCCTGCATGTTCTCTCTCTCCCTCAAATAAACAAACAAACAAACGAATACATGAATAAATGAATAAATGAAATCTTTAAGAAAAAGAAAAAAGAAGAAGAAGAGCTCAAAGAGAAGGTACACTAGAGAGACACTATTACAAGGTCTTCACCATTACGGTACCTGAAGTAGATTTACAAAGCATTTAAAAAGCTTATGATTCTTTAAGAAAAGCATAATTTTTTTACATAAAAATTAAAAACCAGGGGCCCCTGGATGGCTCAATTGGTTAAGTTGAACCAGGTTGTGGGCTCAAGCCCTGCATTAGGCTTCCTGCTTAGCAGGGGGTCTTCTTCTTTCCCTTCCCCCAATCATGCGCGCATGCGCGCTCTCTCTCTCTGCTCTCAAATAAATAAAACCTTAAAAAAAACTTAAAAACCATAGCTCTATGTATACTAAGACATCTCTAGATATCAGAAGATGATAGAAGGAAAAAATAAAGTTGCCTAGTAAGTTAATCATAGAGATTTGCTTTTTTTTATTTTAAAAATGCTCAAGGGCATTTGAGAAGATAGAAAGATAACTCATTTTAGTACTGAACACTAAATACTTACCATGAGATTTTCTTCTAATCTACAAGAAACAAAGAGCCAGAAATAGATATGAAAAATGCACGGAAAGGCAAAAAAGGAGTCCAAGGACTCTACATAAAGTATGACAGTTCAGAACTCAGAAACTGACCCTTGAGAAACAAGAAGAATCAGAGGAAACCACCTATGCCACCAAATCATAGCTTCAGTGAGCCCTGTCATACAGTATGAAAATATCCAGAGGTCTCTTTTTCATTTATATAGACACAAGTCTTCTTATCCTAAGATTTTTTTTAACAGACTTTATTTTTTAGAGCACTTTTAGGTTCATGCAGTTGAGTGGAAGTACAGAGTTCCTATAGACCCCTGCCCCCACATAAATAGAGCCTCTCCTACCTACTATCAACATCCTGCATCAGAGGGGTACATTTGTTACAAATGCTGAGCCTGCACTGACATATCACAATCACCCAAAGTCTATAGTTTACATTAGGGTTCCCTCTTGGTGTTGTATATTCTATGGGTTTTGACAAATGTATAATGTAACCACCAATATAGTATCATACAGAACAGTATCACTACCCTAAAAATCCTCTATATCTGCCTATTCATCATCCTTCTTTCCCCCAAACTCATCAAACATTTCCAAGCACTTTTTAAAAAAGACCAAAACAGACTGGAATGAGTATTTTCAGCCCTCAAGGGAAAAAAAATTCCCATTAGAGTCTATAGTATTAATGCCAGTCCCTTTGAGATTAGATTAACAGCTTCTCTCCCTTCATGTTACTGATGTTTCTAACAACTTACCAATGCACATTTCCTAAATTATTTTCTGGGCTTTTAATTTTTGCAATGTACTTACAACTCATTTTTTGACAGTATCCTTTTGTCCTCTGCTTAGACTGACATCAACACTTTAAAAGTCCAAATCCAATAAGAGAACCCAATTTGTTCTCTGAAGTTGTCAAAGGGCAAATCTGACCTTGGACAGTGGCTTTTATTTTCCATCTGCTCATTTTAACAATATAGCTTACAAACCTCTAAAGAAAACATCTGTTGACATCTAATGCGTGTCTTTATCCTGCTATTTTTAAATAACTGGTTAAAAACTTCTCTTCAATCTTTTAGAAAACAGATTACTTTGAAAAATGATAGAAAAGAAAACAGTGAACCGTCTCACTCAAAGTCTTTGGAGCTTTGTAGCATTCCAACCCATTAAAACAGGAAGAAATTAGTAATTCACTATAATTGTTCCAATTAAGAGATAGAAAATAAAGATAAAACTTGAGTTGCATTCTAGCTTCAAAAAATGAAAGGGGTCATAAGATTTTCCTTAGGAAAATTAGATTTTATAAAAATGTAAAGAGGAAAATATTTTAAGACCTGACATCTCATATTGTGTCAACTTCCTTGGACCAGTTTCGACTGAAGCTTCAGTCCCAGGTATGCTGCACTCTTCCATCAAGCCCAGCACTTCTGAAAGATCAGGTTCTAATTTTCTGACCCAGGGAAAGGGATGATACAAGATGCACAATTACCTTTGATTTTTCTTCATTTTCTCTATAAAATTCTGCCATCTGTTCTTCCTGTTCTTCAATAACATCCTTGAGGGTGTCTACCTGGTAGATCAAATTATTCTTCTCATTGTCTAACTGTGCGTTGGAAACCATGGCTTTCTTGTATTTTTCTTCCACTTCGGACAAAGACTCCTAAATGAAAGTCACAGCCATCAGCCTAATATCTAAAATATGTTCACTGCTTATATGCAATATAACAGGAAATGTAGCACTGGCACAAACACATGAAGATGCACTTTTGCAAAATACAAGCAGTTGGGGAAACTCCTTGTTTAGTAACATGCACATGAAACAGAAGGATGGTAATAAGCCAATTATGCCACGATAAGAATTTTATATGCTCTCTGCTATCCAAGAAAACAAAATCAAGCAGCAGTGTACCCTCTGAAAGATGTGGTGGTATATAGACCACATGTATCTATTAGTCATAAAATGAAGCATCATCAGTGTTTTCAGAAATGTTACTCTTGTTTTTAATAAACTGTCTGGTATTCAGAATGAATTGATACAACATAATATAGCCTCTCTTTACATAAGAAAACTCAATATTCATTTGAATTTTGCTACTTTCCAGACATCTGTTTTCAGTATTTTCCTGTTGTGCATAATAATGCTAATATAAATGCATAAACATTTTTATAACAATTATTCAAATTATGGTCATTCTTAAATACATAAGCAATACAAAAATGATTTAAAAAGGCAAAAAAAAAAGGGCAAAATACCTAAAATTTTATAGAATTCAAAGTTTTCTGCTTAAAACAGCTTACAAGTCTATTTTTTAATATCAAATTTGGTAGATTATTACTATCTAGTAACAATTTTTAAGGTTAAAAAGAATGTTTTACATAGAAAAAGTCATCACTTCTAGAAATAAATTTTAAAAATACTAATGTAAATGTTCAACAAACCAAGATAGAAGACACAAAACTGACAGTCCAGAACCCTTACATTTGTGATTAACTGACTTTTGATAAAGGTACTCTGACAACTCAATGAGAAAAGAATACTTTTTTCAACAAATGGCGCTGGGATAACAGAATATCCACATGCAAAAGAATAAAGTTGAACTCCTACATCACACCATACACGAAAATTAACTCAAAATGAATCAGAGACCTAAATGTAAGAGCTAAAATTATAAAATTCTTCAAAGAAAACAGCACTAAATCTTCATTACTTTGGAGTAGACAGTAGGTTTCCTAGATACAATACCAAAAGCACTATCAATGAAAAAAAAGACTTCATCAAAATGAAAAACTTCTGTGCTGGGCAGCCCAGGTGGCTCAGCGGTTTAGCGCCATCTTCAGCCCAGGGCGTATTCTGGAAACCAGGGATGGAGTCCCATGTCAGGCTGCATGGAGCCTGCTTCTCCCTCTGCCTTTGTCTCTGCCTCTCTCTCTCTGTGTGTGTGTGTATGCGTGTGTGTCTCATGAATAAATAAATAAATATCTTTAAAAAAAAAAAAAACTTCTATGCTACAAACAATACCATCAAGAAAGTACCAAAAAAAAAGCCCATACAATGGGAGAGAATATTGGTAAATCTTATATCTGATTAGGTACCTGTATCCAAAACATATAAAGAACTCTTCTTACAAGACCATAATAAAAAGACACATAATTCAATTTTAAAATGGGTAAGGATTTGATTAGATATTTCTCCAAATAGGATATGAAAATGGACAAGAAGCACAGGAAAATAGGCTTAACATCATTAGTAATTAGGGAAATGCACATCAAAACCACAATGAGGGGCACATGGGTGGTACAATCTGTTAAACTTCTGCCTTCGGTTCAGGTCCTGGGATCCAGCAAACTCCATGTTGGGCTCCCTGCTCAGCGGGGAGTCTGCTTCTCCCTCTCCCTCCCTTCTTCTCCCTCTCTCCCTGCTTGTGCTCTCTTTCTCAAATAAATAAAATATTAAAAACACCACCACAATGAGATACCACTTCGGACCTACTATAATGGCTATAATTTAAAAAAGAAAACCAGAAACCAGATTAACAAGTGTTGGTGAGGATGTGGAAAAACTAGAAGCCTCATACATTGCTGGGGAGAATGTAAAATAATGCATCTGCTTTGAAAAACAGTTTGATAATTCCTCAAAGTGTTTAAACATACTGTTACCATATGACCCAACAATTCTACTCCTTGGGAGCTATCTACGAGAAATAAAAAAGGTATGTCCATACAAAAACTTGTACACAAATGTTCAGAGGAGTATTATTCATAACAACCAAAAACTGGAAACAGCCCAAATGTCCATCAACTGACACATAAACAAAATGTGGGAAATCCATACACTGCAATATCACCAGTCGTGATAGATAGATAGATAGATAGATAGATAGATAGATAGATAGATAGGGATAGATAGATAGATAGATAGATGATAGATAGTTAAGGATGTTACAATATAGATAAATCTTGAAAACATTATACTAAATGAAAAGTCAATCACAAAAGCCTACATATTATATGATTCCATTTGTATGAAATGTCCAGAATAGGCAAATCCACAGAGGCAGAAGGCAGATTAGTGGTTACACAGGGCTGGGTGTGGAAGAGGAAGAGGAAGGATGAGGAATGACTGCTAATTAGTACAGGGTTTCTTTCTGGGGTAATGAAAGCATTCTAAAATTGGGTTGTGGTGTTGGTTGTGCAACTCTGTGACTATGCTAAAAACACTTGAATTGTGTACACTTTAAATGGGCAAATTTTTACAGTATGTGAGGTATACCTCAATAAGGATACACTGACACATGGTAACAATGCTTCACAAACGAGGGCTGTATAATGTTTATACCAGGTTTGGGAACAAATATAACCCAAATAAAAAATATAAGCAAAATCAATTGTATAATGGTTTAAATATAGTAGGATCCTAATATAATACAGAGTTTAAAATGATTCTTAAAGGCTAATAGCATTAAAAAAAAAAAAAGTCTTCCTCACAGCTCAGTCCCACTGAAAATGGGGCATAACTAACTGCATGAACATCAGAATCCAAGATAGTTTAGCAATAGATGCAAAAATTCCATATTTAAAAAAAAAAAATCAAAAAAAAAAATTCCATATTTAACAATAAATTTGACATAACAAAATAAAATTGACATAACATTTATGGCATGTACTCTTCCTTTAAACAACAGACCATGGAAGACAGTTTTAAATTTGTGTTAAGGTAGTTTTAATTATTTCAATCTAGCTATTAGGAAATAGTTTTACTTAAATGTGTCTAAGGCAGTGATTTTGCAAGTGTAGATTCTATACTACTAGCAACAGCTTTAGCTGGAAACTGGGTAAACATGCAAATTCTCAACCCCATCCCAGACCCACTGAATGAGAAAATCTGGAAGTAGAGTCTAGCAATCTGTAACTTAACAAAACTCAAGTGGTTCTGCATGGAGGCTACAATGAGAAAAAGCACCTCCAAAGGCCAACTCACTTAATCAAGAATTAGGCTATAAGCAATAACTCAGTATTCTTTTTATTTTTATTTTTTTAAGATTTTATTTATTTGAGAGAGAGCCACAAGCAAGGGGAGCGGCAGAGGAAGAGGGCAAACAGTGTAGAAAGCTTGCCACAGGGCTCCATCTCAGGAACCCAGGATCATGACCTGAGCCAAAGGCAGACATTTAACCAGCTGAGCCACCCAGGAGTCCCCTAGTAACCTTTTTTAATAGGATACGGATACATTCACACAACCATGATTGATCACCAGACTATTTTCTTAAATTATTTTTCTCTCACTTAAAAAAGTCACTCCAAGGATAAATAAAACTTGAAGTCAAGCTCAATTATATGCTGACCATGAATTAAGAAAAGAAAGGTGGAGGGATGCCTAGGTGGCTCGGCAGCAAAGCGTCTGCCTTCGTCTGCCTTCGGCTCAGGGCATGATCCAGGTACAGGGATAGAGTCCCGCATCCGGCTCCCTGCAAGGAGCCTGCTTCTCCCTCTGTGTCTCTGCCTCTCTCTCTCTCTCTCTCTCTCTCTCTCTCTCTCTCTCTCTGTCGTTCATGAATAAATAAATAAGAAAGAGAGAGAGAGAGGAAGGAAGGAAGGAAGGAAGGAAGGAAGGAAGGAAGGAAGGAAGGAAGGAAGGAAGGAAGGAAGGAAGGAAGAAAAAAAAGGAAAAGGGTGTGTAAGGGGTGGGAGAGGAGGATGGATGAAATAGATAAGGAGATTAAGAGTACACATATCATGATGAGCACTGAGTAATGTATAGAATTATTGTATTATTATGTTGTGCACCTAAAACTGATAGAGTATTGTATTTATACTTCAATAAAATAAATAAAATAGGTCTCTTCTAAATGAAAAAAAATAAACTGGGTACACCACGGTATATCACAAAGTGATTTTTCTATTACTCTGGATATGCTTAAAACTGTTGTACTGAACATGGAGGGGCGCCTGGGTAGCTCAGTCAGTTAAGTGGTTGCCTTTGGCTCCAGTTGTGATCTCAGGGTCCTGGGATGGAGCTGGCATGGGGCTCCTCCTCACCAAGGAGCCTGCTTCTCTCCTCTCTCTGTCTCTGCTCCTCCCCTTGCTCGTGCTCTCTTTCTCTCTCTCAAATTAATAAATAAAATCTTAAAAAAAAAAGAAAAAAACTGTTGCACTTAACATGGATATATTTAATGTATTTCTTACAGGTTTTCTTAGCATGGTATCATTTATGCAAGGAACATTAAGTTTTGCTTTTTTCTCTTAAAAGGGATCTTGTGTAGTTGTTCAGTCTCAAATTTAATCTGTTCTCCTATATACTTCAAAGACTATAATAAATGGTAGATCTAAATGTAAGAAAAAAGTTTTTTTAACATTTTAAATAAAATAAAAGGCAAGGAAGAATACCTCTGAATCACTTGCTTTCCTGATAGATTATATTATATATGAGACTTCAATGAGTGTATTTATTTAATACATTGGATTTTTATCCCTTGATCCAAGATATTTCCAAAAGTCTTATCTCTAAAACCTTAAAAGGGAATTAAATCCTGAAGATTAGAGTCATTAAAACTAACTGAGCACATCTGCATACTACCTTTGTAATTCTCCTATTGTTTACTGATAGCCACACACTGTCATCTCAGTGGCCTCACTTTGCAGGACTTCCCTACACCCTTTTTGGTCCTGAGTCGTATCAGTAAGGGACAATAATCATCCACATTAAGTTTTTGACTGGTAACTGTGCTACCTCACATCACACCAGGGAAGATGATGAAAGCCCTGCCCCATCAGGCCTATGGGCATATCCTGAGTCACCTTTCTGAATGGCTTATGATTTTAGAGGCCTGATGTGTATTTTCTATTTGAAATAGGGACATGCACGTGTTCAGAGAAACTTTAAGTTTCCTCATATTAGATTTGAACTTCATAATAAAACATGGGGAAGAGCAAGCACCAATGACAACCAAAAAGTCTGCCTCACATGGACACTTATATTGAAAACTGGTAGCAATCCTCACTTGGAAAAGATTTAGGCCCATCTAAATTTACCTCCCAAATTCTTTAAAGCACTGAATCTGTGTAATCCTTTTTGAGCTATAGTTTAAAAAAGAAAAGAAGAAGAAACAAAACAAAAACATAGGCGTCCTACCTCAGGGTCCTTCCTCTAAAAGGAATATTTATAATAATGCACTCTTAGATATCTTTCTCCTGCCTTTAATATTGACTGAATTTGGTAACAGAAATAGGCAATATTCTCTCATTTAGCATGGAAGAATTTTAAGGTCTAATTTTCAATTTAAAAACATATATATTTATTTGCAGAGTACTTTTTAAGAGTTTGCCCAATTCGATTTTGTATGGCTAAGACACGAGGGACATGCAAGTATTTTACAAAGTTTAAAAACTCTCAGGTGTAATATCTTTTACTGAATATTCCAAAAACTCTACCAAACATTTAGACATAAGCAGATACTGGAAGTTCACCTTTCCTACACATTGCAGGTTAAGCACATGCTTGAAAGACAAACACTGTTAGTAAAGCTATGTGCACTGGGGTTAACAGAACTTGTGAAACCACTGTTACCCAACCCTTCTGCGTACAGACAGCATGCTTGGGCTGCAGAATGGGCCCTGATACCTTTAGTTCTTTAAGCCCTTGCATGTATCTCCCTTCTACATCCTGTATCTGGTCCTTAAGGTCATAGATATCCTGCAGGACATAGGAATGAACCATTGCATAAAACCATGCACAAACATATCTTAAATCTCAAAGAATTCAGATGAAAATGTGAATTATTTTTGTATATTCCAGACTAAAAGCAGAAATATCAAAGTACACAGCATAACTGCCACTCTAAACCACAGAACAGGGCAAACAGGTCAGGTGATAGTGGGGCTGGAGAAGTTCTAGAGTAATCAATCTAAAGTGTTAAGTATTTTCTTAGTATTAAGGAGTTTTGAAACAGCATTAGCAAAGGGGGGTGTGGTTCTGTATATGAAAAAAACTATATAAATTATAACAGTCAACATATAATTTTTAAAATTTTATAAATCATTTAAATAATTTTTAACAATGCTTCACCTAGAAATAGTAAAATATGTAGCAAATTAATTATAAGCAACATATTTTACTGACTCATGCAGTTTTAAAAACTGTAATAAATGGATATGAACAAAGTTGTCTTTCAATGACTTGCTTACCAACCACAATTAATTTGGGAGAAAGAAAATACAGGGAAGGAAGTTAAACACCTACATTTTAAACATTATGTCAAATGAGAAAGTCTATGCTGAGGATGCCATTTAAATGATGAGAAAAGAGCATCGGCTCCAAATGTTACCATAATCCTTAAAAGTAAAGCAGGTCAAATTTTAAATGGAAAATACAGTTTCCCTTATACCTGACCCTGTTATGTACAATCTGTTCAGAATGCCTGATTTAGGGGGAAATGACTGCCACGGTTATTTTCCCTAAGCACATTCTGCAATACAGGCAGGATCAATTCTCAAAGGCCAGTCACACACACACTTGCTATATTATACTTCCCCTGCCCTCTTCATGCCTCCTTAGTAGGTCTGTCTGCTGGTTGATTCATTCAACAGGCACACACTGAAGGGCTACTAGGAGCCAAGTGTGGATACAAAACTCTCATTTCCTTCAAGGAAGTCATTCTCTTAAAGAAGCAATACAAGGAAATGGCAAGCACAAGCTAAGTTGTGAGGCTGGAGGCCTTTGTCCTCCTGTGTCCTGTCCCCCTGAAGATGAGTTGATCTCATTCAACGCTGCACCCCCAGCAGCTATGCCTGGTACACAGTAAGAGCTTGATAAATACTGATACTCTCAAAGTCATACCATGTCAGCCTGGGTCAGCTCTCCTTCTTGACTGCCACTGTCACTGCTGCAAATCTCTCCGCCCTCTACCCCCCAGCCCACTTATTACAGGCTGCCCATTTCTAAGCTAGACTCCTGCACCTACCCACCTACAATCTGACTCAGGACCCCAGTCCCCACCTCCTCCTCACTGTGTCAGCAGTCCAGGACCTCCACATTTGGCCCCCCTCCAGCCGCACCCTGGGCATTCCTCTCACCCACACAAGGCACCTGCTCCTCAGTCACCCTCTCCTTCCCTCTGCCTTCCTGTTCTCTCTCTACTGGTTCAAGTCAAGCAATGAAAATAATAATCAAGCCAGCCTATGAAAGAAAACAAAAGCCTTCTCTAAACCTCCTATCTCTATTGACCAATCAACTCCAGTATTCTCTCCAGAGCAAGTTTCTTGCATCTTTTTCCATCACAGTTTTGACTTCACACTATTCAACCACAGGGGACTGTTCCTCTCACCTCCAGTGCTTCCTCCAATCTGGAGTCACTCTTTAAGAGCACAAATCAGATACTCTTTTTAATATCCCACAGTTACCAGGAGAAAATCAAATGCCTTCTAGGCTACCATAAATGATGCTTTGTGGTCTGGCCCATGACTACTTCCCAGATCTGCCCCCTCACCTCCCTCTCCTCCTTACTTCTCATCCTACCCTCAGGCAATTGTGCTATACAGACAACCTTCTGGTTCTCTGAAGTTCTGAGAAAGCCTTTGCCTGATTAATTTGTTTTCGTCCTTTATACGTTAGCTCAGAGTACAACTCCTTTGGAAAGCCTTTTGTTACCTCTTCTTCTAGTCCAACACAGCTGACACTTCTCTGAATGCCCTTAATAACCCTGTTCTGGCTACTACATAGTATCACACAATGTGGTTGTACTGGTTTCTATCAGTTTGTCTTCCCTATGAAACAGTGAACTCCTGAAGTTCACGATGTGGTACATTGCCTAAATCTCTGGGGTCAAGGGCTCAATAAATGTTGAATCAATTAATGAATGCAATTTTTATTACTACCCTTCCCCCACTGCTCACAACAGAAATTCAAATACATTTTCAAAGTCCTCATCTTTTAATAAAAAGGTTAATAAGAAGAATGAGGACTCAACCCTGGTACTTCTGTTATCCCCGGTATTACTACATCTATAATGAAAAATTGAAAGATAACCATATTCAAGTAGCCAGATAATACCATAATGGCTCAAAAGACTGACAATTCCTAGAGTCTGGTTCCTTGTATATCCACATTTTTTCCATTTAAAATATGGCCAATTATATCTGAATTACTTTTACATACATTAACAAGGTTTTTTTTTGGCATCTGTAAATTAGCAGAACTCATTCCAATATCATCAAATATTCAGGAAAGAGAACAGAAAAAAAGAATTAACTAATCTCCTTCTTTTAGATCTGAGTCACATTCCTGAACTGTCTTTAACAATTTTTTTTTAAAGAACTCGTACTCCTTTTCTTTCTACTAAGTCACATTAAATGTTAATAGTCCCAGTATTCTGTATACAAAGAAGCCAAAAAAAAAAGGTTTTTAAAAAGCAAACCAAAGACTGCGGTTTACCCGCAATTCACTTAATGAGGTGTCTGGATCTACTAAGCTGCTGGTGTCTCCGCTCCCTCGTCTAGATGAATTTCCACTCAGAGGGGTTGTTGCTGAGGCAGAATTCCGAGATGAAGGCTAGAGAAAGAGGAAGAGGACACATCTAAGTCTTGTTTCTTTCCAAATACATTCACTGTGGAAATTAAAACTGGGCCTGGGGTGGGGGTGTGAGGGAGACCTGTGTATGAGAAGGTGTGGACAGAGCAGACTGCTATGGGAAGGGGACACACTAAGCATAACTCTCTTTACTCCAATACTTTATTAGAATCTAGAATCCATAATAACAAAGGAAATAGTCTGTGTGCAAGTTGTTTCCCAAGTTTATCTTTGCTGTATCTTAAACAACACTGGGGTGAGCACATCAGATTAATTCAAAACAGTTCAGGACTTATAACTGGTATGCTAATTAGCAGTCCTTCTACTGAGTTCCTGAAGCTGCTTTAGAATCTTTTCTTTTCCTACTACTTTGATAAAGTTGGAAACAAAATCTGCAGCTCAAGCAAATTGTATCACTATGACTTTAAACTGCTATTCCCAGAGTTACTTTAAATGTTAGATTATGCTACTGGATTAACAAATGACACAGATCTATGCTGTTCGATATAGTAGCCATTAGCCACATGGGGCTACTGAGCATTTGACATATGGCTAGTCCAAACTGAGATTTTTTTTTTTTAATTGTAAAATACACACCAGATTTCAAAGGTTTACTATGGAAAAAAGAATGTAAAATATCTCATTAATAATTTTTCACATTGATTATATTGAAATACTTTGGATATGAGTTAAATGAAATATATTATTTAAGTAAACTTTACCTGTTTCTTTTTACTGTTTTAATGAGGTTACTAGAAAATTTAAACTTACATATGCAGGGTACATTTGTGGCTTATGCTGTATCTCTACTGGAAAGAACTGATATATCTTTTTTGGGTACCTCATGAAATTAATTCTGATAATTTCCCAAAGATGACTTTCTAAAAATATGTATAGAAGTTAGAGACTTTAACACAAAACAACTCCTAGAAAGGAGTTATTTAAAAAAAAAAAATTTAAGGGGGGAAAAAACCCTCAGAGTTTGTCTCCACCATTCCTAAAGACACTTGATTTTCAGTGTTTAATGGCTTCTTCTCAGGATCAAATTCTAGGGAATGAAAATCAAAGGAGCAGCCAAAAGTTTAAGAAGTGACATTCAAGGAAATAAAAATGCAGTGTCTTTTCTCTTCCCAATGCTTCACATGATTCAACCTCGGAGGAATTTGAGGGGTCAAGAACAGGAAGTAGATGAAGAGAGGAAGAGTAGCTCCACCAGTTCAAATGTAGTAAAATAATGAAATAGCAATAGAAATTCAGTTTAATTGACCTTGAGAAACTAATTCCCTTAGGAATTTATATACTCACCCTTGTGTAATTTTCAGCATACTGTTTGTCAGATTTTTCATCCAACTAGAAAAGAACAGAGATAAAAATCAGGAAAAGATGCTTAGCATGCTGGGGTTTTTTCAGAGGAAAAAAGAAGTGACCTCATTTTGAGTTCTCCAAGTTCAACCGATGTTTGGAACCTAAAAGTAAACATACTGAAACTGAAATACAAATTGAGACACATAAGACAAAATGTCAAGAACTTTAATTCTTATCCTAAGGATGACATGCAGTAAGTAAGCTGTCCTTATGCAGAAGTTTAGAACTTACAGATTTTCTTTTCATGGTATGTGAAACATGTTAAAGAAAATTTTATGTAAACTTGAGTTTTGGCATTGCAAAAGTTAACACACAAAAAAAATTTGTATGCATCAAAAGGAGAAGACTGATAAAACCAAAGGCCAAAAACTTTATTATCTAAACATTATTAGGACAGGGACACATAGATAAGACCGGTACACTCAGCCAAAAAACTTCAGATTGGATTAAAGCATGTTAAATATATCATCAAGAAAGATTTCTACCACAGCTCTTAAGGATTCAGTTCTTTGGGTTTTTTAGTTTTTGCTTTTTTAAGCAATACACGCACACATGTCAAAAAGAAAAGAAAAAAAAACAGCACAAAAGGGTACAACGAGCCTCTCTTCCTACTATTTGACAACCAAACCTTCCAATTCTCAATCCAAGGGCAACCAGCCCCCGAGTCTTTAACAAATTCTAAACTAATGTCCCAAATACATTCTATATCCTCTTTTTCTCCTTACCAAGTTTCAGGAATTAAAGAAATGACCTCATTTTTCTTCATGGCATTTATGACTCTCTGACCTCATGTTAATTTATTTATTGTCTTTCTCCTTAAGGTAAGCTCTAGGTCTATATGTTCATTTCTGTATCCCTAACATCAAAAAGAACACCTGGCATGTAGAAGGACTTGAACTTGGTTGGACAAATGAGTCAATGAGTCATCCTCTACCATTTGTACTTATAAACTTTCTTCATTCACTTTAAGGGCAGCATCATGTCCTGTCATCTGGACACGCCATAACTGAGTTACCCTATCTTCTGCAGATAGGATTAGTGTTCCTTTCATAAAGAGAGGTACCTTATAGGTCTAATCCCAAATTCTGACTTTATGGCTGAGGAAAGAGAAATTCAGAGGTGAAAGATTTTCCTGAAAGTAGAACAACTACTAAATGTCAGGGTTGGGTCCATCATCTCTCAGTTTTGTGAATCTTAAACCCTGTATTCATATAACTTATATACTGTGTTCATATAATGTATATACTGGTCTAGTTACCATTAGAGGGAAAAAGTCACAGATTTAACTAAAGGAAAATATACCCAGACTCCAACTCCTAGACCAACCCTCCTAGCCCAATCTAGGGGAAAAAATTTTGAAAACTTTCCTCGGTTAATTATTAAAACGCAAAATGCCATTATTTCTGGCTCTATTCAGATCACTTCACTCTAACTTCCTCATATTTGAAAATTTTTCTGTTCTTTCATTGCCCACATTTATCATGTTCATTCTTCCCTCACAGTTATTTATCCAATAAACAGTTTACAATTAAAGGTGTTTATCAGAAGTACTATATCAGTAATGTAAATACTATCTTAGACTTTGATCTCTTTTTGCTACCTTTTACTGTAATACTCATAAAAAGGAATTGATTTTAGTTAACTTCGATTTTTTTAATCACATATAAAATGTGTGAAAACAAACAAGCAATTGCAATAGTTTTTAATACTGGAAATTATTGTCGCAAAAAGGGATAAACTTCCACCACAGTTATACTAGTAAAACACATTGCCTGATATTTAAAGTGTTATTCTTCAGAATCAAAGAAATACCATATCTGAATAAAAATGCTGTATTTTCCCCCAGCTCCCTTCTTATGAGTTAAAGAGAAAAACAAGAAACCTTCAGAAACACTCTTCTAGATCAATCTGAATATCTGAAATCCTGGCTTATATTCCCCTCTCAAAAAATGATCCTCCCAAACCCACCCATTTTTTTAACAGTCACCTTGGAATGATCTTACATTTCGGAGGCTGCATCACTGAACTAGTCCATCGCAATGTTGATTCTATCTATTGCTTTCACTGTCTTCTGACAGATCCCAACTGTCGCAACCCAAACTGATCAAGTGCCAAACCTCAGGGATTGTTAAGGCAGCAGAAAATGCCAAGAGCAGCCATGCCGCAGTCCAGTCATTTGGGCTGCAATGACTTGGCCAGAGACTCCAGGTCTGGCTTCTCAGATTGTGCTATATTGTGTGCTGTCTTCCATTTACACAAAAAGCTACTTGAAACCTGGTGTTCTAAAATAAAAGCCCCAATGCTTTCTCTAGCATCCCAGTTGGTCTACTATACAACTGCTCTGTAATGACAAGTTAATGTTCATAATGATGACCCAGAGACTGCTGGATACTAAAAGGCTTTTAAATGGAATAAAATTTAATCATGTTTAATATATTAAGGCACAAAGTACAAAAAGATTGGTAAAAGGATGTATGCTTTCAACTGGAAGATGAATAAAGATGATCTAATGCAAAACATGGTAACCACGGCTAATTAAAAAAACCTGTGTATAAAAAACAATGGAAAAAATGAATATGTACTAATATATAAAACATTTATAAGATTGGTGAGTGAGAAATCAGAAAACAAAGGCTGTATAAGCTATATTGTAACAATTCTATAAAACATGCAAATTAAACTGACATAGAAAAATACCAAAGGTAAATCAAATTATTAAAAAAGAAAGTTGGTAATAAAGAAGTAGATTTAAAAAAAAAAACCCAAAACAAAAAAAACATTAAGCAAAGCTTTTTTTCTTCCCCCCAAATATGGTCCTTGGGAGTTAGTCATTAATGTTAACTATAGCCTACTAGTCCCAAAAATTTCAAGTAAATATTATGTCATTGTATCCTTAAATAATTAAACAGGTAATTTTCCAATCGGAAAAGGGTTTCTTTGATAGGTGGAACTTGGAAGTCAGCTAACAAGCTTACAATATTTCATATTAGTATTAATGGGAAAAGGAGAGCATGGGCACCTGGGTGGCTCAGTGGGTTAAGCATTAGATTCTTACTTTTGGCTCAGGTCATGATCTCAGGGTTCTGAGATGGAGCCCCACTTCTGGCTCCCTGGCTCAGTGGGGAGTCTGCTGCAGATTCTCTCTCCCTCTCCCTCTCCCCACCCCACCAACCCCTGCTCAAGCATGCACTCTCTCTCAAATATATAAATTTAAAAAAAAAAAGGGGGGGGGAAGCATGGCGGTAGACTTTATATTCCAGTTTGAATGCTTAACAATTCAAAAGTAGCATTTACTTAAAGAATTTCAAATTATCAACCAGTAAACAAAATCTTAAATATAATCTTTCCCACATTTCAGTGATAAATGCCTTTGCCTTATTTATGTCTAGGACATCTGAAAATACTTTGCTTTTGACATTAGAGATTATGGATTCTCTTTAAATCTAAACTCCTTGAGTATTTGTTGAAATGAGCACATGTGAGAAATATTTCTTAGAATACATATCTTGTCAAATGCTTTAAGCTCCTTATTTCTTTGTAAAAGATGTTTATTCTCAGATTAAAAGACCCTTTGAACCTCATTTCAGTATATGGCTACTTAGTTTGACAGATGATTTTACCTTACTAAAATGGTAAAATACAACTGAACCTTTTTGAATAGAAATAGAGCATTTTAGTTGTGAATACATTCTGATACTGTCATCTAAAAGTTGTTTAGAGAGGAACCTCTATGGTTCAGTCAGTTAAGCATTTGACTCTTGATTTCGGCTCAGGTCACGATCTCAGAATCATGAGATCAAGCCCCAGGTCAGGCCCTGTGCTAAACGAGAAGCCTGCTTAGAATCCTCTCTCTCTCTCTCTCTCTCTCCCTCTACCCCTATTCCCTCCCCTTGCACATGCACACACACTCTCTCTCAAAAGAAAAAATAAAGATTTTTTAAAAGTTTGTTTAGAAATAAAGACTTGTATATTGTTCTATTTTTTTTTTCTTAAACAATGCAGAAAGGGGCACCTGGGTGGCTTAGTGGTTGAGCATCTGCCTTTGGCTTGGGTCGTGATCCCGGGGTCTGGAATCGAGCCCAGCATCGGGCTCCTCACAGGGAGCCTGCTTCTCCCTCTGCTTATGTCTCTGTCTCTCTCCGTGTCTCTCATGAATAAATAAATCAAATCTTTTCTAAAAATATAAATAAATTTTAAAAAATTAAAAAACAATGCAGAAAAAAAGACCAGAGGCTAGAGCAATCATAAATAGTATTGCCAAGTCAGGGCCTGATACGCTTTTTCAGCACTCCTAGCTCAGAAGTTATAAATGGAGCAGACTGTACACATATATTGATCCACAAAGGGGAAGCCTGAAAGTATCTTTTAAAATTGTGAATTCATTGTCAGCATTTTAAAATCAGGATCTTTCACATAAAAATGCAGATTTCCTAGATTATCATTTCAAAAGGTAGGAGGGATCTTATCAATATCAAGTCTACTTTTCATTTGCCTACAATGAGCTATATAGTTATCCTTTAGGGATCCCTGGGTGGCGCAGCAGTTTGGCGCCTGCCTTTGGCCCGGGGCGCGATCCTGGAGATCCGGGATCGAATCCCACGTCGGGCTTCCGGTGCCTGGAGCCTGCTTCTCCCTCTGCCTGTGTCTCTGCCTCTCTCTCTCTCTGTGACTATCATAAACAAATAAAAAAAAAAAAAAGTTTAAAAAAAAATAAAATAAAATAAAAGAAATAGTATTAGGGATCCCTGAATGGCTCAGTGGTTTGACGCCTGCCTTGGACCCAGGGCGTGATCCTGGAGTCCCAGGATCGAGTCCCACATCAGGCTCCCTGCATGGAGCCTGCTTCTCCCTCTGCCTGTGTCTCTGCCCCTCTCTCTGTCTCTCTCTCTCTCTCTCATAGATAAATAAAATCTTAAAAAAAAAAAAAAAAAAGAGGTGTCAAAGAGAAAACCAGGGGATTAGATCAGGCAGGGAAGTATCTGCTGGTTAAAGCTCCTTCATTAAGACAAATGCCTCGAGATGTCTCTACTGGACAATCTTTCCTAAATTTAGTTCCCAATGATTGCAAAAGCAATGGACAAGCATTTCTTCAAAATAATGCCATAGTCTAAATGTTTAAAATCTATTCAGATTCTTCCCAGTTACCGAAAATCAGTGATACTTTACTAAATAATATCTTTTATTGTTCAACCTTCAAAGTCTGTCCAGGACTTTACAGATCCACCAAAATAAAAAGGAAAGAAAAAATTTAAGACTGATCAGGAATATCTAAATATGGGCTAGGCATTAGATGGTTTTAAGGAATTATTTTTAATTTTATTAGATATGATAATAGTGGGGTGAATATGAAAAAGAAATTCTCAATTAGAGATGCATACTGAACTAGTAGGAAATGACAGATTTGCTTTAAAATAATTCAGAAGAAAATAAATAAATAAATAAATAAATAAATAAATAATTCAGAAGACTGGGTGACAGGCATTGAAGAGGGCACTTGACTGGATGAGCACTGGGTTAACACTATATGCTATATGCTATATGTTAGCAAACTGAACTCCAATAAAAAAAATCAAAAAAATAAAAAATAAAATAATTAAGAAAAACAAAAGAGGGAGAGGGGAAGACAAAGCAAAATTGGCAAAATACTGGCAACTGTTGAAGCTGCTATGGGTTCTACAAGGGAAAATTTTCACAGAAAAGTTTTTTAAAAATCAGAGCAGATCAATATATACATTCCAAAATAAAACAAGTAACTGTACTTTATGTTACAGCAGTCCAATAAAAATTAAGGCAGTAAATTATGTTCCTACTTTTCAAATAGCTAATGTATTAGCCGTTAGTTACAAGCCTGAGGCACCACAACCACCCCCATGCAATTCACTCACGCTGGTCAAATCGGGGATACTGATGTCATCCACCTCAGAGACTACGCTCCCCCTACGATTGGAGCGACTAAAATAATCGGCGGTAGAAACCTTTCAACCAGAAAAAATGAAATGCTTTAAAGGTTAAGAAAAGACAGATGAAAGGAGTAAGAACATTGGCACATGAGAGAAAATTTTTTTGGTGCCTGATAAAGTATCATGCAATGAAGAAACAGCTGCAATTAACCTACTCAAAAAAGTAGAAAAGTAAAGGGGGTTCCTAAAGGAAATCATAGCTCTGCAAAACAAATTTTTTTGCACCTTAACTTGAGTTGTATACCTCAGATATCATTTACTGCTGAGGGCCAGCAAAGGGCTCCTGTGTTTAGCACATGCATCATCTTCACTAGGATAGTATTTACCTAAAGCCTCTACCATATTTCAAAAATTTATAGTTCATTATAGCTATCAGCTCTGTTAAGCACATATGTGCTCAATGCATTATTCTTTGCAGGGTTTTTACTACACCTTTCACCCAATTTCTACACTTCCCTCTTTTTCATATTCCTCAAGACCAGGAACTGTGGAACAAAATAAGGGAAGAACTACACTGGCTCCTTTCTGGTTCCCCAAACTCCGTCTTTTCCCACCTGAGACTTTGTCACTGGCCAAGAGAGCTCTTCTCTCACTCTTCAGGCAGCTGGCTCCTCCCATTTCAAGTCGCAGCTCAGAAGTCACTTCCATTGGGGAAGCCTTCTCTGACCATCCCATCCAAAGGGATGGATACACACACACATGCATCTCTCAATATTCCTGTCCTATCACTTGTTTTTCCCTTCACAAGCCGTAGGGTTACTTTTCGTCCTTTCTTGTTTATTTTCTATTTCTTTCACTAGGATATAAGCTTCATGAAGTCAAATCTAGTCTCTCTAGCTGACCACATTATTCTCAGTACTTAATACACTGCCTCCCATATAATAAGTACTCCATAAACTTTTGCTGAATAACAAATGAGTACTTTTTACCTCACTCATCAGCCTTACCTCAGCTCTGATTACCTTGCTTAAGAACTTTTCCCTTAAAAAAAAGAACTCTTCCCTTCCAGGAAGGGAATTTTGAAATCCATCCACAGAGACAAAGAAGGCTTACAAGTGTGAAGTTTTGCTAAGGGCTAATGCAGTGGAGCAACAGTATTTTTATTCACAGTTACAGTAATACAACTTAGATTTACATATACCTAATATTTTACTGGTTCCTACTGTCTCAGAATTTTGGTATTCACCATATAGTAATTCATTTAATGCACATATTAAGCCTACCTACAAAGATAGTTATTAACATCCCCATTATAAATAAATTGCCATTAATACAACTAACATGTTGTAGCTCAAACCCAGGCATTATTACTTTAAAGTTCCTGCCTGCCCCTTCTACTCCATCACGTGCCAAGCCACTTTCAGGGGTCCTGGCTTGTTTTTTGTCCTTCAGCTGTGAGTATGAGCATTAACTGGCTTGCCAATGGACCACAATTGCCTTAATTAGATCATTGCATTTTTGGCAACAAATCTCACAAATATTCGGTGTTCTCCTTTTCTATGAAAGCTTCAGATTTATAATCTTTCACAAAACATGGCTCTCTTTCCTAGCTCTAAGCTGACATATCACCCTTACCAATGTAATTTTCAAATCAATTCTTAAATATAGCAAAAATGTCATCAGCTCCCTGAAAAACTTCCAGCATTACCAAAAGAGTAATCTGAAATCACATAATTTGTATTTTAACCTAGCTATTTGTTGCCTCTACAATTATTATGCTAGTTGAATTTTTAACCGAAAATTTTAAATTTTGCCATCAACGACTCTTAACAAAGTTCACAGGTCTTAAAAGATGTATAAACAAACTATAAACAATACACCTTAAATACACAGCAAAGAAAGCAACTGATGGCAACATGATATGTAATCCATAGTTACAAATTTTACACAAAGTGTAGCATTGATTTTGCTGGAGAAGCTTTTTTGTTTCTGGTGAATGGTGTGCATAAATGCATATGCATAAAACAACAAAAAATAAAAAGTAAAAATCAAATACACAAAGACTAGCAACTAAGAGGTGTAAAGAGGCAAATTAATGATGACAGCTTCCACAGCCCACAGAGAATACATATTCACAGGAACACATTTTTAAAGGCAAATTACTCATATAAGCTAAATTTGAGCAAAATGTTCATTTTCATCAAATGCAAATTTCACTTTCCAGTAGATTTCATAGGATCACACACTGGTGCAATTTTAAAATTTATTGTGTTTGCATGCAAGCCACGCTCACCACACTGTCCCTTCGCCCATGACTGGCATGACCAGAAGACGCAATGCTTGTAGTGTCATCATCAGCAAACTACAGGTATTAAAAGCAGATAATGAAAAAGATGTGATTTCACTACTGGTCTTACATGACTGTAAGCACATTAGGTAAAATTTGGGGAAGCATGCAAATACTCTACATGAGCATATAATTGGCATCATCTATTGTGTACCATCAAACAGAAAAGTGGCTTTAAAGTATAAGAAACAATCACTGAACACCAAAAGATAATTCCAAAAAAGCACACAGAATAAAATACTACTCTATCTTTTATTTAAGTTACAGGAAAAAGGACAGGATTGGAGGGCTAGGGCATAAACAGACCAACCAAAACTAGCTAGGGATTTCATGCTTTTTCAACCACTAGGCCTTTTGGGATCCCAATAAGGGGTCAAAAACCATACTTAATGCTTTAGTTTGGGAGAGAAAATATAAGAACATCTTCAAGTGAAGTAAGTCAAAGACAGAATTTCCTACCAGCCAGGACACTGAAATGATGATTCTTATTTTCCTTTATTCATTTCTATGCAATGGGTGGGAGATAGTTCTAAATCACCCTACAGTTTTCTTCCTATTTCACGAGCAGTAGAACGTTTATCTTCCATGTGTATGGGTTACCTCCATTCTGACATCACTGAGGAGTCATTCTGGCATCACTAAGATAATAATTCTGAATACAACTTGCAAATGAAATAACATGTAGCCAGCACACAAGGACAAGGTTCTACACTTGACTGAAAATATATTACCACAATTTTGTTTGCAAGGGGTCATCATATTGGTACATTAAAAATGCCACCAGGCCCAAGAATTGCCAAGTGGAATTTTATTACGGAGAGAGGTGAAATGTAAACTTACTACTTGTTTCAAAAAGCCTTTATCTCCTTTTAAGGAGATAAATGTTTACATTCCTGTGTAGATTTTTGTTAGGTATAAGAGTGGAATTCTTGAGAGTTTTAAAACTTCTAATGGCACTGGTTCCAGACTCATTTCAAAAATGATGTGCTAAGTCACAGTCACACGGAAACCACAGATTAGGACAAATTAGTATACCCGAGTTTGTGTACTGAAGAAGAATGATAATTCATGCACAAAGAGTGAAAAACACACATCCTCAATATTCTGGACTGTGAGTACAGATTAAGGAAACAACCCAATATCTAGAAAGCATGCAAAGAGATGAGACAGCTCACCACAGGACTGCTTCGGGCCGAACTTATTCTTGATGAGTAATAACTGTATTCAGACGGCTATAAGGTTTCCAAGAAGAAAGGCTTTTACAATACTGGTCAGCTTCTTTTCCTGCTGGGGGCTACATTAGTGACCCTAGACCTAAGCGGTCACAGGCTCCCAGGGTCTGGATACTGACCTCCCTCCCAACCTTCCAGACACAGTAGCCCTTAGCTGAAGGGTGAGGAGGGGAAGGGGTGCCCTGAAGAGTACTGCTTCCATCCTCTTCCTCAGAGACTAATAACCAGGAAGAGAGGCTTCTCCACCTACACATCCCCTTCATACTGTAAGCCCAATTTCCAGCAAGCAGTTCCTCACAGCTTGAGGGAGAGTAACAACTGGCTAGCTCATGGGTCACAGCTTAGAGAGCAACTGCAGGTCAGATTAAATGACTTTTTCTTTGTAAGTAAACTGTGCCCACCTCCACAACACCCTCCTCACTGCCTCCCTCCAGCTGACTTACAGTTCGAGACCCATACGGGTTATATAATCCACCGTCGTACAATGACACCTAAAGGACAGAGGAAACACCACACTCTGTTTATTCAGGTAGCAAAGCTGTTTTTAAAATGTCACAACTTCTTTGCAATACTCAGTTCCAAAAAGTGTTGTAGAATGGCATGTCAGGTGAGAACACTCACTGATGTGTAAAGTCCTACATCAGTCCCAAAACTTCAAACTCACACTTCATTTAAAAAGCATCATTACAGTATTTCCTTTCATCATCATGTCATGAAACTAGAAGGAACATTTATGAATTTATTTTCTCAAAGGAGGGAACTAAACAGAAAAGGAAGACAAGGGACACAAAGCATTTTGCCCACTGGCACAATAAAATGAAACTACAAAGCCTCAAGTTGCCAGTCTACTAGAACAGGCCACAGCACAGCAAAGCAACAGCCTGAAAGCAACCAGCTCACAACTTGCACGTTAAACAGAGCTTAGCTTTTGCTTTCTAGTCAGCTTGCTTTATTAGAGCCTAGTATTAACGTGGCCAAGGCCACAGTTATCCCAAAGAAACTGTGTATGGGCAACCATCTCACAAAAATATACAAATTTAGTGGGCCCATGGAAGTTTGTCTTCTCTACAGGAAACCAATTCTAAGCAAGGGCCTACCAATAGCCAGTAATATCTGGAAAATAAGGGCTTTTTTCTTACTACTCTAAAGTTTTTGCATTTTAAGCACTGTCAGTACAGTCTGCAGTACACATAGCATTAAAGCTATGTGTCCTTGACTATTTTGGAGGAAAGCTGTCAAGCCAGAGTCAGCACCATGAGAGCAGCTTCACCAGGAGTACACACATTGGAAGAGAAAGATACAAACCAGACTGGTACTTTTCAGCAGACCAGAGTTTGCAGTAAAGGAGGCCTATGAAAAAAGTGCGTGATTTAATCCAAAGAATATGAAAAAAGTGCGTGATTTAATCCAAAGAAAAGCAACTGGTAGCTCTGAAGGCAACACACTTCTCAGAAAGTACTAACCCTGGTACTCTTTGATGTCGCCAGAGGGTCACTACACAGGGAAGAAGACTGCTAAGAAACAAAAACAGAACAGAATAAGAATTAAGCAAAACCAAAGGAGAACTGGTCTCTCCATCATGAGAACAGAAGCTGTGTTTATTCTACACTCCAAAATTCATTAGCAATTCCTGAGTGCTTACAGTAGTTAGGTAATGCTTAAGGTGAGAAAAACTTAGCTTAGAATAGTTTTCTATAAATGTGTGTAAGTCCTATTGGGCTTTCAATAATAATGTTAGAAGGTAGGGTGGTAACCTAAGAAAACACTCAAGAAAAGAGGGCCATGGCACAGGCAGTGTGGAGAACAGTGGCCACACCTAGGTCACCAGCAACTGCTGGGAAATTTTCTGAGATCTCACAGGAGACTCCTGATGGACCTGATTGCTGAGGAACCAGGTAAATGAGCTCTGAGTTATCATTACAATTACTCTCTTCTAAATAGATTAGAAAGCCTGTATTTTCAAAACAAGCCATGGACAAAGTGTCTTAGTTTAGGCACATAAAATGTACTGGTCACAATGAATCCAAGGCACTAACAAGGCAGAGCACATTTAAAAATGAAACTAGGGATCCCTGGGTGGCGCAGTGGTTTGGTGCCTGCCTTTGGCCCAGGGCGCGATCCTGGAGACCCGGGATCGAGTCCCACGTCGGGCTCCCGGTGCATGGAGCCTGCTTATCCCTCTGCCTGTGTCTCTGCCTCTCTCTCTCTCTCTGTGTGACTATCATAAAAATAAATAAATAAATAAATAAATAAATAAATAAATAAATAAATAAATAAATAAATAATAAAAATGAAACTAAACCTGGAGCACCTAGGTGGCTCAGTGGTTGTGTGTCTGCCTTTGGCTCAGGGTGTGATCCCAGGGTCCTGGGATAGAGTGGTGCCATCAGGCTCCCCATAGGGAGCCTGCTTCTCCCTCTGCCTGTGTCTCTGCCTCTCTCTGTGTCTCTCATGAATAATAAAAACTTAAAAAAAAAAAAAAGGAACCAAGTCTTTCTTTTTCTGATGTCATCTGACAATATAATTTTCAATTCTTTTTTCTAAGCCCATCAGATAGGGCAAATAATATCTAAGTTGTGTGTGCAGGTTTTTTGACAACTGAATTATTTTATATGTACTATGTGCCATATATTTGTGTTTCCAATATACAATGTGCCACATATCTTGAAAAAATAAGGATTCTCACATTAAACAAATAATTATATTCTTCTCATCCCATTTACAGTTTAAATTTTTACATGTAAGCTTTTATTACAAGGCCATCCATTATGATGCATACTGATGCCTACAGCTTATTCTGAATTATAACCACCCCCCCCAAAAAAAAAGATGGATCATTGGATTGATAGATGGGCAGACAGACAATAATATGATAAAGGAAATATAGTAAAATATTAATTGTAGAATCTAAGAAGTAGGCATGTGGGTGGTTACTATATAATTCTTTAAACATTTCTGTGTTAAACATTTTTTATTTTAAAAAACTGGAAAAAAGTAGACTCATTTACAGTTGTGGTGGTTCAATAGTTCACATGTAAAGATACAGAAATTCTATGAATTCAGTTACCACAAACTAGTGTAAATACAGCCACTCACAGATTAGTTCTAACTAGTCAAAATGCAAAACCGGGAGTTAGAAAGTTGTTAAAGTTGGATAAGACACACAAAGCCAAAAAGCTTGAGACAAACCCGACTGTAGTAGGCAGAGGTAGGTTTGCTATGTCTAAGACTGCTATAGTTTCTCTGGTCAAAGTAGAGGCCACTCTGCAAAAAGTAAAATTAAACACATTTTTCTTAGGTTAAACATTGTTGACAACACACAAAGGCAAACTCTGATATTACCAATCCCTTCTCCTCCAAAACAATGACTTTAAAGCACTGAATCGCATTAAGTAAAACTCAAAATAATAGTTATCTCAATTCTCAAAAGAAAGACTAATATTAAAGGTTAACTGTTTTCAAACCAAGTTATGACATTTTTTTTTACTTTAAAAACATGAGCACAAACCCTCAGTCAAAATGGAATGGAAATAATAAGTGATTTATTCTCATGTCATACTTAGTAACATCCTTGAAAAATCCAGGACAACTGAGTAATTACCACTTTTATAATCCATTTGGCAATGCCACAGAAAATCGTAAAGTCTTTTTCTTCAAACTTTTCCTAGTCCCATTATTTGTCAAAATACTCTGATGGATTTAAGTTACCAAAGACATAGTGCAATTGTGTACTAAATAGGTTTGGCCTAAAACATCTATGGCAGTTCAGTTTCAATACACAGCACAAAACAAGTGATTATACAGATTGTGGTTACCTGACAAAAAGAAAGTCATGTATCACATTCCCTTTCTAACTTGTCCAGCCATCTTTTTCCCTCAAAGTTAAGGAAATGTATGCAATCCCTTGACTGAAAGACTCTGCTTTGCACTGCTGGCACTGCAAATTGGGGGCACCCCTACTCCCACTGACCCCCCGCCACTCCTGGCCTTGCCTCCCCACACCACACCCTCAAAAAGGTACCAGGGCTGATCTCACCCCAGAGCTCACAATGCTTCACCAGTCTCTCACTAATGTCCTTACCATTATATTCCCTCTTACTTGCCAACGCCTACCAAGCCTGTCCCACACCCCACCAAAGGTCAGAGCCCTTCCACAGCAACCAGTTAACAGGGAACTCGGGACAGATTCTCCTGCCAGTACTGCGGCAGCCTAATTGGAACAGCTGTTCCTAATGCCCCAAATGGGCATTCTAGATACATTTTCCCCCCCGACAGAAATGTTTAGCAAGGTGGCTGGAGTGGAGCACTATTAGTTCTGCAGTCTAATGGCATTCTAAGTTTTCTGCAAGACAACATGGGAACTCTGCTAAAACATACCTCATTGTTACTACCAGAAAATTCATTCCACATTCCCAAAATTTAACCTACGAACTCTCAGAATGAAACCTATTTGTAAGTTTGGTACTGCCTATAATATCATAATTAAATCAACTCAAATTTCTAAAATAAGGATAAAAAATCTCACTAAAACTATTCTTGAAGTATATTCCAGAGGACAGTTCATAAATGAAAATAGACAATTAAGAATTCCTTGTATTAACTTGATATTAAATCCTGTAAGTGAAAACAAAATTACTTTTAATTAAGACTCTAATAAATCATGTTTTAGTATGTTATCAAATTTCAATAATGTCTAAGGCATACACCAAAGCAGTCATAATTCTTAAGTTCCCTAAAAGTAATCACTGAATTTTACAGTAGCATAAGACAGTGGGACATGAGACAGAACACAACTAACCAGTGGGTCTTTATGAGAACCAGAAGATCTCTTCTTCATTCCATAAGAGTGACTATAAGAATGATTCTGGAAGTAAACATTTAAAGTTAACCTTCATGATCACATAGTGAAGTTTAAAAATTAACTTAATAAAATGTCTTAAAATTATACACAGAAAGATGTATATGCTATACAGAGTAGTCTCCATTAAATCTATTTTTCTGTTGTCAGTAAAAGATATATGGCACTTAACTGACTAGCTAAAATATATAGCACCTTAACACATCTGCATTCCCCCTCATTTTCTCCTGTGACATCCATCTCCATGTAGAGCCAGCTAAAAAGACGTAATTAGGACACAGAGCCAGGCAGGGCATTTGTGAGTTTACCCCACACTTTGAGTCCTTCTATCTTCTTTATAAAGGTGTGAGTGACAAGAGGGTCCACCTCCTTCTAGGTCTTCCTTAGCTAAAGGCCAAAAAGCAATCCTTTGGGATCAACAAAAACAAAATGGAGAGAGAAAGAAGATGACATTGCTTTGTCCAAGAAAATACTCTGGACCCAATTTAGTGGTCCCACAGGACATGCTGCTCAGGAGGAAAACAGCCAAGATGGTATGGATTGCCCCTTGTAGCAACAGCATTATCAGACAATGACTTTACACGAAGATCCTCTGAAGACAGCACTGTCTCGATACGTTAACTTCTCCCAGGAGCACCAAGCCAAGTGTATATGAGGGAATAAAGGACAGAAATACTACTATGCAGGTCATTAAGTAGACAAGAAACCCAATCTCGTTATATACTGCTCACCTAAAATGAGGAAGTGCAGGTAGAAGTGTCTTACCTATCAATAGTCTGCTCTAGGCAAATTATCTGACATAGGCACAGCTAGATCCAGAATCCATCCTCTCATTTTTCTTTTTTGAATATATGTATCATATGACTATATAGCCTAGAAACTCAGGCAATCTGACATAATATTAACCCAAGGAATACATGCTATAACTAAACTTCTGTGGCTAAACTGACATACATAAAAAAAAAAAAAAAGAAAAAAAAGAAAAAACAACCAAATCAAGCAAAAATCAGCAGACATAACTGATGTTTCAAGTATGACCTGTCACTGCTGGCTACTTCCTGTTTAGCACCTTCACACCTGCTGGCTTGTGACACAAAACAAGAAACACAGCAGGGTCTGTAGGCCAGTGGATATCAAACACTGGCAAAGACATGTCTTCAGGCAATGCATATGTCAGCTGGGTAGCTCATCACTAGAAAAGATACTTCTATACCAATTTTAGTCCTGAATAAGGAAGTAAATCATTTTTATCTGATCCTGAAATTCTAAAAGAAAAAATTATTTAAATGTTCAATTATACCACAATTGCAAAACAATGATTTTTGCATTGGTGGCCACATGCTTCCCCCAAAACAAAATAACAAACCTGTGAAAGTTAGTCATAATCTCGTAATGATTAGCATGATCAGGCACTTATAAAGTAAAACTACATTAAACACAAGTCATGCACTACATACTAATGATGAAAGTCTTGACGATCGATCCTTGAGAGGGTCATACTGGATTTCAGAAAAAGTTGAAAGTTGGTTGTATTTCCAAAATCAGAAATATAAAGAGGAAAAAAAGCATTTGCAAAGTTATTAAAAATCCAAACTAACTGGAATTTAAGTTAAAATTTTTTAATCCAGCAATACTTTAAAAGTGCAAAATTAATATTCTTACCCACACCCACACTTTCCTAGAATAAATTACTGCACATAAATAATATAATCGGGCTTACAAAAAAACAATTGCAGCATCAAAATGTGGAAGTTCCCTTGGATCTGCCTGTAGATACAGAGCTGAAAAACTTCCTTTCTCAAGAACTTTCCCTATTCAAAACACTGTACAAGGGGGCACCTGGATGGCTCAGCAGTTGAGTGTCTGCCTTTGGCTCAGGTTGTGATCCTGGGGCCCTGGGATCCAGTCCCACATCAGACTCCTCGTGGAGAGCCTGCTTCTCCCTCCACCTATGTCTCTGCCCCTCTCTCTGTGTCTCTCATGAATAAATAAATAAAATCTTTAAAAAAAAAAAAGTACAACACTGGAAACAGTCCACACAAAGTATGGAATATGCAGAGTATACATACAAGCATGACATTAAGTATCAGTCAAAGAAAAATACATAAAATTTATGGTAAGACCAGAAAAAACATTTCAGGTAGTGTCCTTAAGAAAATAATAGGCATAACACCACATTTCAGAGCCAAGAAATTGAATTAAATAGTAACAACTTAGATTTATGATTTCCTAATTTTGTTCTTAAAGCATTCTAGCTTACACATTTTAAACAATCTTATCCAGAAGTGGCAAGCAATAAAAAGTGTTATTATATGTGTAAATAAATCTTGTTTATCTAAAATTTTCTAAAATGCCTAAAGGTGTGCATTTTGTAAATTATGTGCAAATGTAAAATGTCATTTATGGTGAGTGACATTTCCCTGAAAGTAAAGTTCCTTCTTTATAGAAATTTCACTTAGGCCTTTTCTCCATTAACAAAATATCTTTTTTTGTTAAAAAAAAAAAAATCACTAAAACATGTATTACTCAAGCCACACATTCTTGCATATAAACTATTCCACCCTCCCAACCAGATAAGTTCACTGAAGAAAACAGTCATGTCTTATGTTCTCTGATCCTCTCTGTAGCACCAATGGCATTTTACAAAGGCACAGAATTTAACAAGTGAATTGAAATTGCCCTATATCAATTTTCCCTTTCTAAAATATAATGCAAAGTTCAGCTGATTTTTTAAAAATTGCTGAATCTACCTGGTAAGAAATCTATACCTTGGACACTCCAACTGCTACTAGAACAACTGGGTAAATGAAAAGAATCCCCCTAATACATGCCAACTGGCATCTATGCTACTTAAAAACAAATAGTTCATCAAAGGAAATAGAGCAAACAAGTTGTGGAAACTACGTTCAGCAAATGTCTATTACCATTAGAATATACCTATTACTCAAGCCCGCAGAACTCTGAGAACAACAGTGAATGCATTATTAACACTGAACATTTTTCTAAACTACACACCATGATGTCTTTCCTTTTAGGTGTACTGGCTCTGCTCCAGTGTGTCCCAATTATGTCCTTCGATGGGTTCTTCCATGGAATTAAACAGTGTAGTAGTAAATGGCAAAACAAAAATTGTAAGCATATTAAAATTAAATTCATTAAAATTTAATTTAAGGATGTTGATAATTAAAGAGGGACTAATACATACAAGAGTAAAAATCTGTACCAATAAGAAACTGCAATGTATCCTAACCACTCTGGTTCAAGATCATCTCAATTTTCTAACTTTGGATCTCTACCTTACAGTCTTCTTGTATTTCAATATAAAAAGCAATAACCAAGCATTTGTAAGATGCTTTTCAAAGGCAGATTGTTTTTTAAAGAAACAAACTGCTTAAATTCTAATAAGTTCAGGGCTTTGATTTCATCCTCTTTTCCCCAAACCTACCATTCACAGTTCTAAACTATCTTTGCTCTTTTTATTTTTTTACAGAATATCTATAGCATGGACACCATTTTCAACCCAACTACCATCTGGCAAGAAAGTATTAACTGAAATTAAGTGGACAAAATGAAAGATCAAAGTCCTAAGAACATGGCAGAAAACCTTAACTACATCTGCCTCACATCCAGGTACTGCTAGTGTTCAGATGTCAAACTGTCAGACCTTCTTAGTATATAGCTCGTGAGTTCTAAAGAAATATCCAAACTCCTAATTTATATATCAAATCCCAATAAAGTTTAGGTCAGTGTTTTAGGCCATCACATTTGTTTTTAAAAGAGAACAAAAGTTGTCTACATATTCAGCTTAATGTATGTGGTAAAGTTATTTTTTAAAACACTAAATCATCTGGGGGCACCTAACTGGCTCAGTTAGAGCATGCAACTCTTGTGAGCTGAAGCCCCACACTGGGTATAGAGATTATTTAAAAATAAAATCTTTAAAAAAATGTAAATAATCTGATGAAAACGTATAACTCCCAATATTACCTCATTAAAAGAAAAAAATTATCTCAATTGTATTTCTTTTAAGCAATGTTATTAGTGAGCTTTCAGACTTATCTTCAGGAAATTTAACTATTTAAAATGTGTTACATACACAATAACATACTAGAATCCCCCCAGGGTATAAAAATTTTATTAATCTTCATGCTCAGATTTAAAATACTGGGAGCTTTACTCTTTATCATAGTAGAAATTTTCATAGCTACACAGGGAAATAAAATACTATGCCAGTTTTAGTTTTATCTTAAATTTATTTAATGATATAATTTCCATAAAAAGAAAATCATCATCATTACTTTATAGACACTTACGGTAACCAATTCATTCATGGTAAACCAAATGCAGGTTTAATTTCTCTTGTGCTTATTTGTAGATTTGTTTTAAAGGTTCCTAAATTAAGTCAAACTTGGATGGTTTTATTGAGCAGTTAAACTAATATAACTAATATATAATCAAGTTTCCCCGAAGCTACTTAGAAATTTATAAATAACCAGCTTGATGATAACTGTGTGAAATTTCACACTATGAACATTTTAATGGAAAGCAAAGGGAAAAAAACCATACATTACATTTTTTAATGGGGAACACTCAACTTTTAAGTTTTTGTTGACTAATTCCATGTATGAGTGTTCTTAAAGTGTTTAAAGAGGAAAAATAAAAATCTCCAGGGAGAAACAGGATGAATTTATCATCTTAAAAAATGTTTCTCCTATAAAATCATTCTTAAGTTGCTGATTAGATTGCTGTGAAGGCTTGTTGATATTCTTATAAATCTAAAATTTTGCAATTAAATAAAATATTTATGATTCAAAACCAAGTATATTAATTTACTGCAAAAAAGACAGATTACATTCACCAGTAAGAAATATGACCAGTGTAAAGGACTAAGTTAATAATACAAACACATCAGTAACTAGGTATACCAGAACACAATTGGTTTATCAACAGAGTACTTATATATTTTACACAAGACAGGAAGAAAACTAGACTCCGGGAAAGTTAATCAATATAGACTTCAACATGAAAGATCATTTTACTGATAAAAAAATCTAGATATATACATATCAATATTATCAATGCATAAATTAAAAGTGTTACTTTCAAGTTTAAAGCACAATTCTTTACAAAGAGATCAGTGTCTTGGCACAATATACAAGTCTTTAATGGATGAACTCTCATTTACTTTATAGCAATGTATGCTAAAAAGCTATGGCATACTACAAAATGTTCATCAAAATGTTGAAATATGGTACTTACTATAAACATGATAGCAGGGAATTTTTCAAATCAGTAGCTTAATTTTTCGATGTAATAAAACCATAGTCAACCAAGCCCCAAAGCTATTACCCATTTAATAGTTATTTTAAAATATGTTAAGTAGGAAAATATGAAAGTTGAACCACAGAGAGGTCATTCTATAAAAATCAATCCTATTATTTTGTGAAAATTTTAGAAAATCAAAGATCCTTTTATAGAAAAATAGTAAATACATGTTAATAGATTAAAACATCCATGATTTTAGAGTTGATTTATATTAATTATAACAATAATTTAAGAGAAAGATTACTTCCCAATGAAAGGACTGCAAGACAATGAAAGGACTTTGCCAATATTTTCTTTTACTTTTTTTTTTTTTTAAAGGCAAAAGAATATGAACACTGTCAGATTGTTCAGGCAATAATGCTGCAGAAAGTTCACACATAAAAGCTTTACTATCATGGAGCCAACAACTTAAAATACCAACCCTGTGACTGCCAAGACTTCGAATGGACAATGCATCCTCAACTCCCTGATAAGAACAAAAACAAACACAGCACAAGTTTGTGGGTGACTGCATTAAGTTAATGAGGGGCAAGTATTAGGGGTAAGTTTATTGGTCATTACAAACCAGATAAGGTCGACGATGACTAGATCGGTGGGAATACCTGGCCCTTTCTGAATCTTCCTGGGAAAGGAGAAAGTACATGGAGAGTTAATCACTAAACAGAGGGTTGTCTATCAGAACTGCTCAAACAACAATCAGTTAGGAGCACAGCAGCATCTTCCTTATAGCAAACAGGTGTGGACAACTCAGCTTCAAAAGCTGGGCTTGGGGAAGCCACATGCTTCAGGTGGAAAGAAAATAGTTATAATAATAATCTTGTGTATGTACATCTGGCCACTTGTAGAATGTAATCTATATATGACCAACAAAGCTCAAAACACCAAGATAAAAATAAGTATACTTAACAAAGAGAAATTGAGTCAACATTAAAAGTAGACTATGATCTTTTCATTATGAATGTTCATTTATGCAAGGCAGGAAGAAATGTTTATTACAGAGATAGTTTAAGGGCTTAAAAAAACTGGGGTCATAATTTTGTGCTCACTGCAAAAGAACTTTTTTGTTTTCTTGCACCACTCTACCTGGAAAAGAAAAAATAAAATAAGGGATCCCTGGGTGGTGCAGCGGTTTGGCGCCCGCCTTTGGCCCAGGGCGCAATCCTGGAGACCTGGGATCGAATCCCACGTCGGGCTCCCAGTGCATGGAGCCTGCTTCTCCCTCTGCCTGTGTCTCTGCCTTGCCCCTCTCTCTCTGTGTGACTATCATAAATAAAGAAAAAAAATATTTAAAAAAAAAAACACAGAATCTTTAAAAAAAAAAAAAAAAAAGAAAATAGCCCCATGTGTTGTTAATATGAAAAACTACTTATAATTAAAAGAAACTACGTAAATATTTTAGAGTTGGTAAAGTTATTTCAAGTTATACCTCATAAAGATGGTAAAAAAAAAAAAAAAAAAAAAAACATTACCACAACCTAACAGTTGACTAAAATTAAATGCAATTCTAAACTTTTCCACAGTCAGCTATTAGCATTGGAGCATTAAGTCCTGTCTGCGAAATCAAATGACTAGTTCCTAGAGTCTAATCAACTGCAACAGTAAGAAACTTATGGTCTTTCAGAATTTCAAAGTCCAAAGTGGTAAAGTAATTTGCATTGACTAAGAATCTACACCCAACTGTCCGGTTGGGTTCATAGCTAATCAATGCTATCTTTTCCAAAATGGATCAATACCTCAAGCAAGATCATTACACGGGTGGAAATAGATGTGGCTATGTCTGATCATTCATTTCAAATATAAAACCATTCATTCAACAGAAACACCACAACTTAATGCCTTATTTTTCTCATAATCTTTCAGTGTCCTTCAAAAAAACTCCTGGTTGTCGTCTGCTGTGCACACTGATGCATGTGACCAAATCCGTTCAGAAGTCTATTTATAAGCGCCAATATGATTCAATGATACAATATCCAACAGAGTGTTAACTTTAGGAGTTCATCATTGATTTACATTTTTGTTATACAATAGACACATGTAATCTGCAAGAAGTCAAGCAAATTTCTTCCTTTTCTGTGACTATCAGATTATATACCACAAAAGTTTTGGGAGTATGTGTATAAAGCCAGCTGGGTAAGATAGTTTAAGTGGTAACCAGTTCTAGGCTACTTAGCTTAAAGAACCTTGCGCTATTCAGACAAGTGATTCTTTATGCCCCTTCCCAGTCTTATTTGGGGTACTAGGGCAACATACATAGTTTAATGTTCAATCCTTACCTTTTTTTTATTCCACCTACCACACAAGAGCACTTTTTTAAAACCGACCTCTAAAAACCACAGTCCATTAAAGATGCAGGAGACAGATGAATTCATATTTATTTTCAATTATGCTACTATAAAAATAATTCTTAATAAAAAAATACCTTAAATGGTTTGTTTTTGTTTTTTTTTTTAGCCCCATTTGAAAAAAATAGCCAAAAAAGGCCTTAGAAGATTACAGAATAAAACGTAAACCCCATACAGGCCAGTTAATGTGAACTGTGAGAATACATTTTTTTCAGTCATATACTACACCTCAAACCAACACTGTCCACCAGAACCTTCTGTGAAAAAGTGGAAATGTTCTCTTTGTACTAATACGATAGCCACTAGCCACATGTGGCTAGGGACTATCCGAAATGCTAGAAATACAACTGAGGACCTAGATTTTTTATTTTAACCTATTTAAATCTAAATATCATTACCCACATATGGCTAGTGGTTACTGTAAAAACAGTAAGGCAAACTCAAAGCAAATTTTCATTATACCAAAAAAAACCACAAAGCACCTATTTCATTAAAAGGCTGCTATGTAGCCCTGTCATATAAAAAGGCAGGCACTGAGGTAGTTGTGAGTTACTGCCCCTACCTTGAATGCTTCTGCACAGGACAAATATGAGGGAAAGAGAAGGAAACTCTTATATAAAAGAAAAGCAGGACGCCTGAGTGGCTCAGTGGTTGAGCATCTGCCTTCGGCTCAGGGTGTGATCCCGGAGATCTGGGATCACGTCCCACATCAGGATCCCTGTGAGGAGCCTGCTTCTCCCTCTGCCTATGTCTCTGCCTTCTCTTTGTGTCTCTCATGAATAAATAAAATCTTTTTAAAAAATTTAAATTTAAATTTAAAAAATGTAAAAAAAAAGAGAAAAGATCCTAGCACCAACCTAAGAATTTTTTTAAGAGCTAGAAAGATCCTTAGAGATCATACAGTCTGATCCCTTCATTCTAAGTCAAGAAAATCGCACCACAAAAAGATTAAGTAGGAATCCACAAAGACATAAAGCTGGGAGCAGCATTCAAGTCTTTAACTGATGAGACCACCAAACCATAAAGAGAACATCCTATACTGGCTAAATCTACACTGACTACATAACAAGAGCATGAAGAAAATGGCCAGATAGCCTGGGTTTTACTCAAAGATTTCTCCTTCTCTAGCAGAACAACCAACTTCATTTTCCAGGTATTGTAGAATAGTATTTTAAACTGCCAGTTGGCTTTTCCTGAATTAATAGCACCAGGGGCCAAGAGAAAAAATTTCGGCAACTGTGTTGGTAGGTCAACTACAAGGCTGACTATCCTTCTCTTCCACAGTCTAGGAAACAATCTATTTTCATTGTCCTGGAAGTCGATAGTAGTATATAGAATCCAAGGCAGAAAAAAATTGGACAATGATTTAAAAAGATGGATGTATATTTGTTCAAGGCTTTCTGGAAAATTGTTTCGACACATTTAAGTTAATGGAAACAAATTGCAGTCTGTTTTTAAACATGAAGTGATTTTATTCAAAGAAAGAGGACCACAGCCCACTGAAGACACCTAGCCCTGTTCTCTGTCAACAAGTAATATTTTAAGTCAAGTCTAGAGCCATTCCCTCCGTTTCAAATTAGGAAACCTCAGAAATTGCACATTCTCTTCCAGGTCACTGACATGCTGCTCCTAGAGACACTCAGTTTAAAACAGGAACGCTTGTGGTACTATCTAGAGGCCTACAAAGACTGAGGCCCTTTCACCTTGGTCCTTTCACTTTCCAACCCACTAGCAGGTGTGGTGCCCTCTCCGACCTTTGAATTCTGGCTCTGCCAATGACTGAGCAAGTTGTTGACTTCACCAGTCCTTCATCACCTTATCTGTAAAATATGGTGGCACCTATTTTATCGTGTAAAATATACACGATGGAGTATCTTTGGAGACACATGTAAAAAAGCACTAGCATAGCGCTGGCATCAGAGCGTGCTCATTGTTAGCTTCATTCCTGAGCCTCATGCCCTGGCTTTTCCTGTTCACATTACAACAACCCACCCTTACACTCAGAAAGAGTGAAAATTAGGAGAAATTTTTAACACAGGGAGATTTCTCCTTCTAATAACTAACAATCCTATTATTTGTATATCCTTTGTTTCTTTTATTATAAATTTATTATTCTTTATATTTTATTGTGACTATCATATGACAACTTCTACTATAAGCTCATAGACAGAATGCAGCCAGAGAGACAGATATGCTGAGAAGTGAAAGGAAAAAATTAGTTTGAATAGAATAAAAAGCAAGCTCCAAAGGGGTTAAGTGATAATTATTCCCATTTGAAACTAAACCCAGGACACCTGGGTGGCTCAGCGGTTGAGCTGCCTTTGGCTCAGGGCATGATCCCGGAGTCCCAAGATCGAGATCGAGTCCCACCATCAGGCTCCCAGCATGGAGCCTGCTTCTCCCTCTGCCCTTGTCTCTCCCTTTCTTCTCTGTATCTCTCATGAATAAATAAATAAAATCTTAAAAAAAAAAAGAAAAGAAAAGAAAAGAAAAGAAAAGAAAAGAAAAGAAAAGAAAAGAAAAGAAAAGAAAAGAAAAAAGAAACCCCATTCATGTTCTCTGTGAGTCCAAGCTATTACTCAGGACTGCATTCTAAGCCTCTAAACCCAAAATGTTCTCCCTTCCATGAAAATCTAGCACTCTCATTGCCTGAACTGCACACATTTCATGGAGATAAAAAATATATTTTTCTTCATGGCCTCTGAATATAAGAATCAAATATAAGACTTTTAATACAGGCTTTTCTTCTTATTGAACATTTTGGTCTGCCTTCAAATAATAAAATCTCAGGCAATTTAATTTTAGAACTACATCATTTTAAAAAATTAAACTAATATTTCCGGGGCACCTGTGTGGCTCAATGGTTGACCATCTGTCTTCAGCTCAGGTTGTGATCCCAGGGTCCTGGGATCAAGTCCCATATCGGGCTCCCTGCAGGAAGGAAGCCTGCTTCTCCCTCTGCCTATGTCTCTGCCCCTCTCTGTGTGTGTCTCTCATGAATAAACAAACATATCTTTGAAAAACAATGAACTAATATTTCAATGGAAAATTTGCAAGCAAAAGTGATTTCATTCACACAAAATGTTCTTAATGCATCAACAGTAAGATAACCCAGCTTCATGCAGAAGACACTTTAAATAAAACCAATTAGGTTAGCTTTAGTAATAAGAAAGGACAGATTCTACTCCGAAGTAACAAACACATTAGTGAGGAATCACTTCATTATAAGTAACCAAACACCATCTTTCTCTCCTTTCTAAAATATCACAATGAGAAGTATGATAAAATTTTAAATCTGTAGGTTGAAACAGCCATAAGTAATTTTTTTACAATCATGAATATTTTAATTCTGGTTGTACTTCAAAATGCTGCTACAGAAGGAATTTGCTTATAAAAATTTGTTTAACAGCAATTAGTGGCTTTTAAACCTTTAGGGATCAAAGACTCTCTTGAGAATCTGGTGTTCATAACACCTGTGGGGCCTTTCACTTAAAAATATTCAAAAGTCTGCATGAGATTTTAGGGCTTCCTGCTCCATCTCCCAAGCCTATTCACATGGGTAAAGAACCTCTGCAATAAGAGACAGCTAGGGAAATTACCAACATTGAAAAAAGTTCAAATTTAGGAAGATATACAATAACTAATATTTTACTGGTTCACAATCTGCTCTTGTAGCTAAAAATCTGGGAGTGGTGGTAGAAGACTCAAAAAGGAATTGAGAGAACTGAAAACATAAGAATAATTTTCATAGAAAATTAAAGAATGGCTTGGGTCATCTCTCACTGAGGACACTTCTGTCTAGTATTTTTTAAAAAGAGAGAAAGGAAAAGAGGGAGATGGAAGGACAGAGGAGAGGAGGGAGTGAAGGAGAGAGGGAAAAGAGAGAGGGACAAATATGAGGGAGACAAGAACAAACTCAGAGAAAAAAACACATCCATCTACTCAATCTTTCTTGGTCAAAAGTATTCATGACACAAATGTAAGGCTGTAGACTACAATAGAAAATAGATGGACTCCAAGTACACATTTGGTCCACTACATGCACAAGAGACACTCTCTGACCTTTAGGTTCAAACATGCCAAACACTCCTACTTGACAAACTATTAGTCAATGTTTTACTTCAAGATTGCATATTTCAGCAATTGATCACAACATGCAGGGCAGGCAATCCTGGCCTACCAGCCACTTATGAATCTGTCCCCATTTCCGATCAAAGGAATAGTGAGAGTGCTACAAATGCAAAAGTTTCATCAACTGAAGTTTCCAACATACTGCACAATCTGAAAAGTCTTAAATTAATCCTATACATTTGCCCTGAAGAGCAGTGATTGTCAGCTTACCGTAAGTTACACATTAAAAATACAGAAAATTACTGCGCTAAATACATTCAATAATGGAGAAATACATGACTCTCTGCAGTATAGAAGAAATGGAACTTATAGTTATACTACTTATAATTTACTATAATTTTAGGAGTATAAAAGACAAATGCATTGCAACATTTTCATTTTAAGCCAAGACTTGCATTCAATATTTGAAAATACGTATGAGGCCAAAAAAAGCAACATATGTATCAACTGTTTTTTAGTTTAGATTTGAACTGTGAATAAAATCTATATACTTCTCTTTCACCCAAAGTACCCCACCAACATCAAAATAAAGTGTTTAACACTATCCTGTAGATTTTTTTCCCCTTCACATCAATATGGAATCAGAAATATTTTTATGTGAATTTTCAGAGTCAGATCAATGTCAGAAGGAAAGGTTAAAAAAGTATTCATTTCATTTTAAAGCAGCTTAATTTCTATATGCCTATGTTTATTTTTTGCTATTCTTTCTGATAATAAAAGTATATTGAAATTTATGAACTATAGGACAGCATTAAGAAGAAAACAAAACCAGCCAAATACACCACTGACACACTAAAGTATTTATAGTAATGACTTCTAAGTAGTTTTCGACCCTATATATGATAGGTTGATATATATGAGCCAATCCCGTCTTACAATTGGTTTGTGTTTGGTTTTTTTTTTTTATTTACTTGCATGAATATTTTCCTCCATTATTAAATATGCTTAAAAACTGTAAGGTTGAATGACTTCACAGTGTTTTACTATGTAGATATCATAATATAATTAACCTAAATTCTAATAAGACAGGACTATAGTAAATAACTTTGTCATCTCTAAACTGACTTTAGCTAATAAAAGTACTTATCACACCATAACAACTTGCTACAATGTACATAATAAAGGCTGTATATGTGTTTGCTGTTATTATTTAAAGCATATATTGCATTTAATTTGCTGACACAGAATGACTTGTTAAAATATATACATCAGGTTATAATACTTCCAGTGTTTCAACAGGAATCAGACTTATTTCAGAAGGAAACTAGCCAAGTATTATCTTATTAGAGACTAGCACAAAATTAGGACCATTCCCCTAAATTACCTCTTTTTGTTGTCTCTCCAGTTCTCTCATGCGTATATCTCTTGCTTCCGCCCGGGCAGCCCGTTTTGCGGCCAGCCTTGCCTCTGCCTGAAAAGTAATATAAAGATTCAGCTTTATTTATGAACAACAACAACAACAACAACCTGACCTGCACACCAGCTGTGAAGATAAGGAGCAGATGGGACATAACTATCCATAGCAGGTGGGCAGACAAGCTGCCCTCTCTCTCAGCTGTGTGTGTGTCTGACTGCCTCAGTCAGCTCCCATACACTCATGTCTTTGTTCTAGCCCAGAGTCTCTCCTGAAATCTGGGCCTTTATTTTTAACTGCTTGCCTTGATTACCATGTTCAAAACACTTCACACAATTCATTATATGTCTCTATAAACTTGTCTTTTCCAAAATGTCTTTCCCTGTCAATTCAATCATACAAATCAGAAACTTCAGAACCTGCCTCTATTTCATTTTGGACATTGCCAACATCCAGTCTCCAGGTACTGCCAATTCTCTACTGCTGAGTTTCTCTCACCTCCAGTCAGTAGTTATGCTTTTTCTGACTGTTTCGGGAACTCTTCATATCTTTCTCCTTTTAAACTGGTATGCAATTCACATTAGCACCACATTCACCCCTTACAACTATACAGTTCAGTTGTTTTCAGTACTATAGTCACAAGATTGCACAACTACCACAACCATCTAATTCCAGGATGTGTTCCTCACCCTAAAAAGAAAGCCCATGCCCATTAGTAGGCATCCTTCATTACCCTGCCCCCCAGCTCCTGGAAACCATTAATCCTACCCTTCTATCTCTATAAATTTGCCTATTCTGAAAATTTGATATCAGTGAAATTATACAAGAGGAACTCTTCATCTCTTGCTTGAACACTGCAAATGCAACTGCCTTCAAATCCACCTACCTCCAGAATGTGCCCTATAATTCGCTTCTACAATGTTACAGTATCACCAATCTGCCTTTCAAAACATGTTCTGATGATGTCATTACGCTGTGAAAAACCCTCCACTGGCTCCCCATCACTTATGGTTAAAGCAAAACTTCACAGACTAGCACAAAGACAAGAGAAAAGAAAAGCAGACAGAAATAAGGGTCCTCCCAGTCATATCTACCCCTTCCAGGACTTGTTCCACATACACCAGCTACAGGCCACCTACCTCCATCTGGGACTCTACTGTGCTCCATTAAGCCTGTCTTCAGCTCAGGTCATGATCTCAGGGTCATGAGATCAAGCCCTGCATTAGGCTCCATGCTCTCACAGAGAGAATCTGCTTAAGATTCTCTCTCTCCCTATCCCCCTGACCCTCCCTGCTCCCACTCACACAAATGCACTCTCTCTCTAAAAAAAATTAAGATATACAAAACAAAATTACATGCTTCTGTCACCCCCACAACTTCCATGTCTTGATTGATGTCTGCTAAATAAACAAAAGAATTTCAGGTCATGGACCAAAGCATAGAGGAAGTGAGACAAGGAAACAGCTTGATGTACCACATGAAACTAAAAATCTCCTCAGTGATTTCTGTCTTGCAGTGGTTTCCTCTGTTCTCGGCCACATCCTAACTCTGATTCAGACCACCTTCTGATAACTACAGTAGCGGCTTCTCCTGTGGTGTTACATTTGTGCCCAAGTCTCACATTAAGAGACTCAGCCAATGTTTAAAAGAGTCTACTGTACGGAAGCAATTATGTTTGGTATACTGAAAATACAGGGTAAGATGTGACATCTCTGCCCCAAAGAAGTCCTCAACCCAGGTAAGGCACATGGAAACACAACCCTAAGTGAAGGAGCATGCAGGAGAGAGCATTTAGTTTCCCTGGTAAGGTCCGTGCAGGCTTCCAAGAAGAGGAGGCAGCCTAAGAGTTAACACTCAACTATCCCAATTTTGGCACTTTCCCTGTCTGCTTAACTGGCCTTTTAGTAGCAAAAACCCTCAACTGTAATCTGCCAACCTAAAGCTCTAAACAACAATATGACCAGAGCAATTAATCTTCTCACATGAGGAGTACCTGGGTGGCTCAGCCAGTTAAGTGCCTGCCTTCCACTCGGGCCATGATCTCCGGGGTCCTGGGATGGAACCTGGCATCAGGCTCTCAGCCTGCTTCTCCCTCTCCCTCTGCTGTTCCCACTTCTTATATGCTTGTGCACTCTCTCTCTAATAATTAAATAAAATCTTAAAAAACAAAACAAAAATCTTCTCACAGGAATTTTTCACTGGTCTCTTATTCCTACCTTCTTTACCCCTCTAACTACACGTAGACACCACTTTCTTTCCAGTTTGTATTTTTTTTAATTTATTTTATGATAGTCACAGAGAGAGAGAGAGAGAGAGAGAGAGCGGCAGAGACACAGGCAGAGGGAGAAGCAGGCTCCATGCACCGGGAGCCCGACGTGGGATTCGATCCCAGGTCTCCAGGATCGCGCCCTGGGCCAAAGGCAGGCGCCAAACTGCTGCGCCACCCAGGGATCCCTACAGTTTGTATTTTATAGAAAAATACTTCAAGGCTAAGTTCAGTGATAGCAAATACATTTTTAAATTACAAAGTATCTTTTTTCTGGGAAAAGTTTTCAAACCCTCATTTTGTTTTTTGTTTTTTTAAAGTTCAACGAAGCCATAGCGATGTGTAGGGATTGTCACTTCCATGTTAGTAGCTTTATACTTTTAAGCCTTCTTTAGAAATTTATCGAGAATGCCCATTTCATCCTTCCAAGATCAAGATGGCCAATTCTGTACATTCTATACTAAAATGGTTCACCAGTTTTCTCTCACCAAACCAACTGAAATCTCTCTGATAAGATTTCATTCACAGGAACCTGGCGGCTGTGTAACAAAAGGAACCCGGGCTTCAGAGCCACAAAAACACCCTTCCCTTTGTTGCCTAGCTGACTTTTACCAACTCAGATACGCCTCCCTTGGGGAACTGAGGAAGACCACTAAAAAATAAGCTGAAAAAAGGTAAACAGGATTTAAAAGTATTTATCTCAGTATTTTCCTACACATTACTACCAGATGCCTGAAACAGTACTGATAGTAGGAGCAGCAAGAAAGAAGCAAAAGATGATTCCAATCCAGTAGGTAACACACGCACTCTATATTTGTATCGATATGTTTTTAAATAGATAAATTACAGGTACACAAAGCATACTTCTAGGTAGTAACACTGGCATTTTCCCCTCAGAATACAACTGCATGATTTGTACACATTCATTTTAACACATACTCATAGATATAAATAAATGGGATATAAGAATAAAGGATCACAAAAAATTAAGTTTGCGGCACCTGGGTGGCTCAGTTGGTTGAGTGTCTGCCTTTGGCTCAGGGCATGATCCCAGGGTCCTAGGATTGAATCCCACATCAGGCTCCCTGTAGGGAGCTTGCTTCTCCCTCTGCCTATGTCTCTGCTGTCTCTCATGAATAAATACATAAAATCTTTACACAAAAATTAAGCTTAAAGTAAGGTTGGTAAGAAAAAAAAAAGTTAAACACAGAATCACCATTTGATCTGGTAATTCCATTTCTGGGTATATACCTGAAAGAACAGAAAGCAAAGACTCAAAACATATGTATGCCAATGTTCAAAGCAGCCTTATCCATAATAGCCAAAAAGTAGAAACAACCCAATGTCCATCAGTGGATGAATAAATAAAATGTGTTATATCCACACAGTGGAATATGATTCCAGGAAGGAATTCTGGCACATGCTAAAACACAGATGAATCTTGAAAACATTATGTTAAGGGAAAAAAGCCAGATGCAAAAGTACAAATATTTTATGATTCTATGTATTTGAGGTACCTAGAATAATCAAATGGCATGGGCACAGAAAGTTGAACAGTGGTTCCAAGGGGCTGGAGGGAAGAGAGAAATGCAAAATTTTTATTTAATGGGTATGCAGTATAGGATAGGATAGTGGCAAAGTTCTGAAGATGGATAATAGTGCTGGCTGTGCAACAATATAAATGTACTCAATGCCACTAATTGTATACTTAAAGATGATGATAATGGTAAATTATGTATTTTACCACACACACAAAAAAAAAGTTGCATAAGACATGAAATCAGAATTATTCAGGAGCCTAAATCATGTAAATACTTATAGAGTCGTTAGTTGATATGACTCAAACTTTTAAAATAAAGTTAATAGAAAAATTTAGGGACTGGAAATTCAGGTTCAGAAGTTACCTGTGAAATCAAATAGGTCAATGGACTCAATTTCTAAAAATTTTTCTCAACATCATGCTTTCAAATATTAGGCACATTAAGACTGATTAAAGGAAATATGCAATCACTTATAGAAACGTATTCATCCTAGAACAGTGAAAATGATAGCACAAAAAGTAAAAATATATTTGATTAGAATTAAATTCATTTCCCACTAAATGCTTGGGATAAATGGAAAAATAAAATGCAAGAATCATGGGACTTGATCAGCCCTGGAACAAACTGCTTTAGTTTGTATCAATTCAGAAACCGTCTAAATTTGTAGGCTATTCACTTTAACACTCAATTAATAATTAGGAATCCTACAATGATCACTAAGAAAGAACTTCAAAGGGCGCCTGGGTGGCTCAATCAGTTGGGTGTCAATCTCTTGGTTTCAGCTCAGGTTATAATCTCAGGGTCCTGGGATCAAGCTACCCCGCCCCCCAATCAGGCTCTCCACTCAGAGTGGAGTCTGCTTGAAGAGTCTGTCCCTCTGACCCTTCCTCCAGTTGTGCGCATGTGTGCGCACACACTCACTCTCTTCTTCTCTTTCTCAAATAATCTTATTTAAAAAAGGGAAGGGGGGATCCCTGGGTGGCGCAGCGGTTTGGCGCCTGCCTTTGGCCCAGGGCGCGATCCTGGAGACCCGGGATCGAGTCCCACATCGGGCTCCCGGTGCATGGAGCCTGCTTCTCCCTCTGCCTGTGTCTCTGCCCCTCTCTCTCTCTGTGACTATCATAAATAAATAAAAATTAAAAAATAAAAAATAAAAATAAAATAAAATAAATAAAAAATAAAAATAAATAAAAAAATAAAAAAGGGAAGGAAGAAAGAAAGGAAAGGAGGGAGGGAGGAACGAAGGGAAT